TCTAACTTACAAAAACAGCCGGTTGAAAATCGTGCCTTGGTGCGGTTGGAACCGTGTTGGAAATGTTTTCCTTCCACAGCGTCCGGTATAATATAAAATTACGTTCTGGGCACGGCGGGACTGCAGCGAATAACAGCGTATTCGTGTTTGTATTTGACTGCCCTGGGAAAGAGACCGCGCTCCGCGCAAAGCATACTGGGAAGAGCCAACCATAGTATCCTGGGGACGAGTCGATGAACGATGAAAATTTGAGTTTTGAAGGGTGAAAACAAGTTTTGAACGATGAAAATTTGAGTTTTGAAGGGTGAAAAAAAGTTTTGAACGATGAAAATTTGAGTTTTGAAGGGTGAAAAATTGAGTTTTGAAGGTGAAAATTAGTTTTGAACGATGAAAATTAAGTTTTGAAGGGTGAAAATTGGGTTTTGAACGGTGAAAATTGAGTTTTGAAGGGTGAAAAATTAAGTTTTGAACGATGAAAATTTGAGTTTTGAAGGGTGAAAACTGGGTTTTGAAGGGTGAAAATTTGAGTTTTGAAGGGTGAAAATTGGGTTTTGAAGGGTGAAAATGGGTTTTGAACGGTGAAAACTGACCCGATGAAGCCTTGTTGAAGTTGTACCTTTGGTCTTTCGTACGAGTGTTCCCTGTAGACAGTCCCGGGAGTCATTTTTTTCGCACATTCCAGGAGCCAAACCAAAATACGTTCATGAACCGAGTCCAAAAAACCGAAACGTGAAAATCGGATGATCGGACCTGATGTACATTTCTCTTTCTATAGATTGTACACACAATACACACATCTTTAGATAATCTGGCCATGGCAGGTTAAAAAAAAGTAACCCTGAATCATACTAGATTAGCGTAAATGCATGTTAATGCGTTCAAAACAAGAAAAAATTGTTTCCGGGTATTAATCTCTTGAATCACGGCGCTGAATATTGACGCAAAAATATTTCGGGCATCGCGCGCCCTTCCCGCGTCACGTGTAGGCATCTCGCATCTCTGATTGGTTGTTGCGTCTTAAGATGACTGAGCCGACGCGCGTTTAAACAATTTTTCTTTGTTCGATTTATCACACTTCACAGAGAATTGTCGCCAATGGCTACTTCTTTTTGTTGCAATATATAATACTTCACGGAGAATTGTCGCCTATGGCTTCTTGTTATTATTGTGCAGGATTCTGGAACAGCATGTAATTTTTTGTTGACATTTATGACATTTCAAAAGGAATCATAAATTTAGTATGAAAGGTTCCATGTTGAGTGGAAACAAACGTGTCGCTTTGCAACCACAAGGCACAAAGCACAGGTCTAGATTTTATCGTAAAGATATATATGTACAGTACTGTACTCTGCACAAAAGTTCTACAGGGCTTAAAATACTTTTTTCTACATACCTGCTCTGGTGCATTGAAGATTATCTGCACTAGCCAAAATTTACTTGCACAATTTAGAAAAAGTTAAATAAATCATATGAAAAAAAACTGTTCTGAAACGTTGCCATTATTTCTTGTATACTTCATAGGTGGTGACATTTTTACTAACAATCAATGCAGCAGCAAAGTCTGCATACATTTGTATAATTATAATTTATATGAAGTTGTTTATTGCAAATTCCTGCCCAAGGGCTAATTGCATACAGACATTGACAAGAAAATGTGGTGATACATGTATAAGCCTATTTGCTAACAGGAACTTCTACGTGTACGATATACTTATCGAACCTACTATCTCTACTTAAATCTAATAACATACAGGATAAAAAAGTAAATATGCAATATGTGAACAGGTAATAGGAACAATGTAACTGCTATTCTAATCTATAAATTAATTCTATCTTATTCAACTATTCTTGTCATGCTATTATTTTAGTATTAGGGGGTTTGACCTCTTCTCAGGAGGCAGTGGGAGATGAATTGTCCGACTCTTTGAAAAATAAATGGGTTGGTGGACTTTAGCAATAATATAGTCTTTTGTTGTTGGTTGAGATATAAAAAACTTGGGGAAATATTGGCGACATCTTTGAATAACTTTTATAAACCCAGTACTTGGGCCAGACATCAGAAATACCTGCGCATGCATAGGTCCAATTTACCCGCACTAATCTGCATATGCAGGTGGTATTTCAAGCCCTGTTCTGGGAATTAATCTCATTTCCCTGTTGTATGAATTTCAGAACTGAAGCAAAGATGGCAAGCTCAGCGAAGGAGAACTCTCGAATGAAGAGCTACAAGAACAAAGCGCTGAACCCACAGTGGATGAGACGGAGGCGTGAGGAGGAGGGAGTCCAACTGCGCAAACAGAAACGTGAACAGCAGGTACGTCCTGGACTGTAGAACGTACTGTGCCTGAGTAAAACCCGGATTTTTGCCAGTTACAGCCTGTTGTCTTTTCCGACACAACACTTGAAAACCAATAGACCGAATGCCATCCTTAAATACGTTTGAGTTTGAGTTTTATTTAGAACTGCAATATTATAGCCAATACAAAAATTGGACTGTACTATTACAGTCTTTGTCAAGGAATGAGCAATCCACTGCTTCCGTGACATCACGCAGATAGCACACGTGACTCCGTGAGCAGTAGATCATAGGCTGCAGAATGGTTTGTAATTCAAACAATGGATTTTAAACTTTAATCAAACCATTGCATTGATGATGATAGATTGGAAGCAATGCACTGGGAGCCAAAGTATGAGCATTTTGGAGTTGATTCAGGACCTGAATACTTTTTTTGGCGTATCAGAAATAAAATGAATTGGGTCAATTCAAGAACCGATAGACTGAATTGATATGGCCTATTTTTAAGCTCAATCAAGGACCTTGCTTCAATATGTGCTCTTATTGCCCCTGGTGTGAATCCCTCTAGTACTAGTATTGATGTTTTATGGTAAAAACTGCCAGTCTACCACATCCAGACAACCTACATGTATATTGATTTGTCTGTGACCCATGCTAGATTTGGCAGACAACTGGCAATAACCTATACAAGGGCTTAAAATACTTAGTACCGTCTGCATATGCAATTGCAGGTAAAATTGGAGCTGTGCAGGTACTTTTTTATGTCTACCTGAACCTAACCTATACTGGTCTATGTACAAATGTAGGACTGGTGTATCATGTGTATGTGAATTTTTATTTGCCCCATTGACTGTTACCAAGAAAAAGGATGGCAGTGGTTTCTGAATTTTTCAATATACATGTAACATGCACCAGTTTATAATTAGGTCTGATGAAAAAAGGATTTCGAGCTCTGCTATACGCATACACAGTATATTTGATTTAGTTGTGCTGCTGGGCAGATAGGGTAGAGACATTGATTCTTTTTGGCAGGGAGTTCTTTTTCACCCATCTTTGATAAGTTGCCCGTGGCATCATGCAAACATATTCAGTACTGTATGATTAATGTATTATACAGGTGCATGAAAAAACCTATGGGGTCAGATAGCAACATACGTTCACACAACCTTGCTTATGTGTCCGTGAGACACCTTCCTCAGAGCTTCTGACTGGAGTTCTGCTTCAAGCTGAAAATAAAATTCCAATATTTAAAAAGAAAATTGTTAAATCATACATGGATTTGGAAAATGACAAAAAAGTAGACAGCTTTCCACTTTAATATATATGTATACGTAACAGTACACTGTGTTTGATAGCTCCCCATTGGTTTCAAAGCTGTATCGGGTGACTTGCACAAGTAAATCATGGCCATGTTATCCAAAGAATGAAAGGATAGTATCAAAAGAATATCCTTTGGTGCTTTGGTTCTCTTCCAAAAAGCCTTTTTATCTACATCTTAGTCAGAAAGCATTTGTGGCTAGGCTATGTCATGGAAGATTAAGAATATATAGACGTCTTTTGAAACTATCATACACATCCCTGCACATCTTCATAGCCTGAAGGGGGCTTCATAGGCTCTTCTTTAATCTTTCTGTCTATCTTATCATTCTACTGTGTCTGTAAAAAGATAGGACTCCCCTACAGCCAGCATATATTACTGATACTAGACAGCCAGCATATATTAGTTAGTGCTACAACTGTTATTAAATAAGAACACTAAACATGGTGGTGCCACAAACACTAGTCTTCTTTTTTTTTTCCAAGTGCAGAACTTATTCACAGCGTAGGTACAGAAGGACAACTTCGAGTCCCAAAGATATGGCCTCAGTATTTTCATTTTTATCGTTACAAGGTTTTCCCACCAAAAAAACAGGCCTATACTGGTTTTGTTTGTTTGTTTCGCATAACCGGTAAACCGCCTTTAGGTGTAACACACCAGTTTTGTACATGTAACTATTGTATTTAGTACAAGCTGTGTAAGACTGGACTGTAAAGTTTGAACCACTCACGTCTGCAGTATGACCATCAACATTGAACCTAAACTGTTATTTTCCCTCCAGCTGTTCAAGCGTCGTAATGTGGACATCCCGGCAGATGACAACTCCCCTGGGATACAGGAACCTTACATCTCTTCATCACAGGTGAGTCAGCAACTGTAGATGTCATAGTTCCATCTTAGAGTATATATCATTTGGATAATGCTAGTTCACTACATACGATAGATGTGAATGTTTGTTAGGCCTAGGGAAAAAAAGTTGTGTTTTTGGTTGCCTGATTGACTAACAAAGAAAACCTGACCCTAGCCTTTTTTGGGACGGGTGCTGCTGAGAGACATAAAATTGTCAAGTGGTGCATAACTGGTTCACTGGACCAAATCAGAACGGAACCTAACATTTAGGTTCAAGTCCAAAATTTAATATTGGTGTACTGATGTATTCCAGTGTTATATTAAAGTGTCAAGTGGACATATTATTATTCACTAACTGTATTTGTTGGATCACTTTTGTTAGAACATAAAGAAAAAAATCGGGCCTAATTTCTTCAGCACCCAAATACTACGAAATAGTAAACACAACATTAATTCTCCTAGGCCTTAGCATAAAATGATGCAATGTTATATATGCAGAAAGAAGGTAAATGGTATTGTGTTGTTTGAATTGTTAAGATTTGAGAATCTTAAAAGTATCTTCATAAAGGTTTCAACAATAGCAAGCATTTAAACTTGAATTGAAAAGCAAGAGGTACAATCAAAAGAATCAAAAGAACACATAAAGTTATTTTGATGGCATAAACTGGCATCAAATTGCAAAAGTGGCAGTCAAAAGACAAGTTCTGTGTGCTTGATACATCAGTGGTTGAAACCTTTGAAATGACAGCTATATAATTGCCAAAATTAGATTTATAGCGTTTGCATGTATGTACTTTGTTATCATTGATTTGACTAACATCTTGATAACAACTGTTGTTGTTGATAACCACAATAGATCAGTGTACAATAGAGATTTCTTAGATATGACTGTCATCTGAAAGGTTGTTGCAGAAATGGAAGAAAAAAACTAATATGGAAGAAAAGAACAAAAACAAAAGGAGAAATTATGAATTGGGAATGTTTTATATATGTACAAGGACTACCTAGAAATCTTGCTCCCTCCCAACAGTGTTTTAGCCTGCCTGACATTTTTTTCCATCTCAGTTTTGTTTTATTGTCAAAGGCCCGAGGTGCAAGACATCACATCAAAACATTACAATCATACAAGGGTTTGCGGGCAGGTTCCCTTTTAAAATCTTGACCCCAGTGACCCTTTGAAATGTGATTTCCCACATTTTGAACATTTGAGGGCAAAGCTTTTGCTGGTGAAGTAAGCTTAGCTCAATGATATTTTCCCATATCTTTACCAATTTTTGTCCTTGAAAGATGTAATTGGGCAAAATTTTGTCGGTAACGAGCAGCAAAATTCCGAAAAGACTGATGCTGTTTAGTCTACCATATAGCCTTTCTGCAACAGCCTATCATGGCAGTTGTCTTCCCTCTCATACCACAAACTCCATTTAGTCTGGATCAATTCATGGTTTTTTGTTTGGTTTCTCCTCTACCAACTCTCTGTCTCCTGTCTCCTTCCTCGTGGTTGTGCGTGTCTTCTTGCGGTCTGTCTGTCCGTCCGTTCTCCACGGGACTAACGGGAACCCACGCGGTTGTTCTTGGCTCCTCTGCGGGGACTCCCCTGCGTGTGCAGGCCCCAGTATTCCCCACTTCCCCTCTGTACTCACCCACTCTGGAGGAGGTAAGTCAGACGTGGAAATGTGCTTTCTTTTCTTTTGTAAGGCCACACCAATTTAATTTCTTGGTTAACAGGTTTTTCTAGAAAAATAATGGAGCAGGCGGGCGAAAAAAAGATAAAAACAGGCGTAGGCATCCTATTATGGCCCAATATTGTACGATATCATTTAGGAGCCATGAAGTCAACACACCGGGCTGGCTCAAAATTTAAACACAATGAATTTTGATGATACCACTGCATTGAAAGATGGAATAACTGTAACAACTAGGCAGAAAAGGACTGTTTTCAACTGTTCAGGGCAAAATATGAGCAGTTTGCAGTTGATTCTGAATTTTTTTTTTTCCAAACCAGAAAAAAATGAAGCAGGCAAATCCGTTAACCAAGAAATTAAATTGGTGTGGCCTAAAGGCATCCGATGTAATTTCAGGGTGGAGAAACAAAAATATTCTGGATTAGGAAATTTGTCTGATATTGACATTAACTCTACTGACATTTCTAAGCACAATTTCGCCATCATTTCATACTTGGAGCTATTTAAAAAGCCCCAAAATAAGCTATGTGAGGAGTTCCTTTATTCTTTGTGTACCAGCAATAAAAAGCTAAGAACCAGCGTACAATACAAAACAAGCAACCGTTTTCTATCAGCGACATCACATTTTTGCCACATAGATATCAGCATATCAGATATAGGGTTCATTCAACATACAGGAACTACAGAAAAAAAATGACTTTGAAAATCCAGATTTTCTGCCCTGAAATCACTTTGGATGTCTTTAAGTAGATGATAACTTCAAATCTGTATCACACGTCATTTGAAAGAGGTGGAAAATTAAATGAACCAAGCTTTTTGTGTGTTTGCTGGTACCAAATTGTAAAGTGATGTTATTGTTCCTGTCAAAAAGCACATACATGTACATATTTTAGAACATATTATATTCACTTAACAATGAATAGCTTCAAACTGCTACAGAGGTTGTTTGGTGTTGAATTCTCTCATCTTCTGTGGTTTCTGGTCTTCTGCTTTTTCCTTCCTTTTCTTGGTTTTATTTCTATGTGTCCAGGACTCCTTGTTATTACATGCATTTGCCATTGTCATTCACTAACATAGCTGCTGTAGTGTTCTGTGACAAATGATTATGTTCATGTAAGTCTTTGGACCCTGTCATGTATTATATAATAGTTGTGTATGTTGAAATCTATGCTGACGCCATACCTATTTCAAGTAATTGGTTCTCTGATTCGCACGCTTCATTTAAAAAAAAGGATTCAGGTTCTGAATCAAGTTCAAAATGCTCATCTTTTGGTGGTATCCATCTATCGTATCAATTTGTTAGTTTGAGAAAAAGGTTTAAATTCATTGTTTGAATTATATAAATCAGCCTGGTATATTGACCTCATGGCACTTATTGTAGTTTTGGGGGCTATCAGAGGATGCATTGGACTTTTGTTTTTCCTTTTTTTACTCCCTGTCACATATTTTTTCTGAAAAAAAAAAAAGAACCAGCAAAAATACTATGAGGTGGGGCCCTATCTTTATGCAAAAAATGTATTGTTCATTGTATTATACCTGTCTCCAAATTTGCTTCTGTGCCTTATAGTATTGTCTACCTTGTTCTTTTTAAGGGTTGTAGTTGTTTCTACCAGTACTTTCTCCTAATACAAACCCACACCAGACAGTGTCTAGAGAATGTAAGTTACAGTTGGTTTGCGATGTTCTGTACCCATACTGCAGCTTGAATGTTGAACTTTTGACCCTGCAGGGTGGCATAATGCCAGAGATGGTGCAGATGATCTACAGTGAGGACCCTGAGCAGCAACTGGCTGCAACCCAGAAATTCCGGAAACTCCTTTCCAGAGGTTAGTGTTCAAAACACACATCTCTCTACATACCTCTACAGGGCTTGAAATACAATACCACCTGTATATGCAGGTTAGTGCAGGTAATAATGGAACTGATTCTGAGTGGTGCAGGTAAAATTTTTCTGGTGCAGGTAATTTTCAACGTTACCAGTACCAGGACTCAAAATAGTATTTCGAGCCCTGCTCTAGGGACTGGTCCTGTTTGTGATTCATAATTACCTCCCGGGGAGGAGACATCCTTCCAAGGAAGGGTTTTGTGATAGATTTAGATTTTCATATTCGCAGCTGTTTCTCGCGTTTGGGTGGACGGATTCTTTTGGAACTCGGTGTATGTTTTGCTATTGGGCTGTAGATGGTGCACATTCTTTTGTTTTTGTTGTATATGTGTTTTCGGGCATGAAAATGGTGCCTTTTGGTGGCCCCAGAACACCCCTTTGAGCGTGAAAATGGTAGCGACCGTTTACCTTTGGTGTGTTTAAGATATTCTCGGTCTGGTCCACGTATATGACCTCTCGATAAATTCTCTGTTTAAAACCCTAGTCCTGCGGCCCCCAGCAATTGTTGTTGTACACATGCATCTTCTGTATGCGAGGCGCAACAATTGTTGTTTGGAGGGTATTTTTAGCCCTGAGGTATAAAATCTCAGATTTTACTTGTTATGAACTAAAATTTTTATGAATAGCTATTTTTATTTAAAATTCTTTCCATTACTGTATGGTTCAAGTTTCTACTTTGCTGCGCTGGCGGCAGGTCCAGAAAAAAAGAAAGCAAATTATTTATTAACGGTAATGATAAGTTTGCCCTGCGAACAGAAAAGTACAGCGAAAACCACGTATAAGAGTCTAAGTTGGCCAATTTTGTGTTCCAGAGCCGAACCCTCCCATAGACGAGGTGATACAGACGGGCATTGTGCCAAGGTTCGTGGAGTTCCTACAGAAAGAAGGGAACTGCACGCTCCAGGTAGGCACACTTCAGGTACAGCGACCTTTATTTCCTTCATTCTGGTCATTCCAAACGCATTCCTTGTTTTCCGTCAACCCACCAAAACTTAACAGACTATTTCTCCAGCTTTTGAAAATGTTGCAAACTTGAATAATTTTAGATTGTATATTTTATAGCAGAGTTGATGGAAAACAAAGAATTGCCTTTGTCAAAGTAAAGCAATGGTCAACATGTTATTGTTAAACCACACCAATTTAATTTCAATGTGAAAATCTAATGTTTTAATTATAAACCAGCCTGGTATGTTCACTTCATGGCTCATATTGTAACATTTCCGGCTATTATGGGATGCCTTTGGCCTGTTTTTTTTTGCCCTGTCGCTCCATATTTTTTCTGAAAAAATCTAAGAAACAACAAATTAAATTGGTGTGGCCTTAACTTGTTTTACAAGCAATGCATTATTGGGTAGTCTAATGTGTAAATGTCAATCCTTTTTATGATGTTCCATTTTTTAATAGTGTTGATGGTGAATATTTAAAATGAGAGTTCTGACCATTGTGTAACAGAAGGGAAATGTGCCAGTTGTATTTTTTAGCTGTATATTTTTTCTAAAATGCTGCGTCTGAGAAAGGTACTGTATTACTTCATATTGATCACAGAGTAGTTTCTATAGATATTAAAAAAACAAACACCACTATAGTTCATAGCATCGATAAGCTTATTTGTTATTTAGTGTAATCAATCATTTTTTTTTTTCTAATTTGGAAGAAAAAATTTAAAGGCTCGTCTGGTCTTACAAAATGTTCCGTCATCATGATGGATATGATTGTTGTCCTTTTTATGAACAATATTGACCAGTGTTCTAGCTGGCATCTTTTTACAGAATTTTGCTACCGACAAAAATTTCAACCTCCCCATCATTTTTGATGGAGAAAAATTGGCATGTAAATATATGGAAAGAGATGTCATTAAACTAAGCTTAGTCTAGCAGCAAAATTTACCCCAAAATTTTCCCCCAAAAATGCAGAAAATAGGTCTTCAGGGGATCAAAAATCCTATATGGACGGAAAATTATAGGAAAATTTCTTGAACAGGATGGTATTGCAACATACCGGTTACACAATATACTCATATTATATAAGAAAAACTTGCAACAATGCTATTTCATTACAATTTATATTTAGGGAGATCCCTGACTGCACTGGAATTTTGCAGTGTGCAAACATGATACACTAAGTACAACGTTTTTATCTTGAACATTGCCTGTAAATTGCATGTTACATGTGAGTTTCTCAGTCCCTGCTCCTATACTGACGTTGCCGTGCTTTATTTCCCCAGTTTGAGGCTGCCTGGGCGCTGACTAACATTGCGTCAGGCACGTCCCTGCAGACCAGAGTGGTGATCGAGGCTGGAGCTGTGGATATCTTCATCAGGCTGCTGGGGTCGGAGTTTGAGGATGTACAGGAACAGGTACAGTCTCATTACCTCCGGGGGAGGAGACATCCTTCCGTGGAAGGGTTTTGTGAGAGATTTAGATTTTCATGTTCGCAGCTGTTTCTTGCGTTTGGGTGGATTGGATTCTTTTGAGACTCGGTATATGTTTTGTTATAATGGGCTTCAGATAATGCACGTTCTTTTGCTCTATTGTATATGTGTTTTCGGGCGTGAAAATGGTGCCTTTTGCTGGCCCCAGTACCCCCCTTTGAGCGTGAAAGTGGTCGCGACCGTTGACCTTAGGCGTGTATTAGGTATTGTCGGTCTCGTCCACGAAGGTGACCCCTCGCACAGAGGGGTGTCCGGTCTCGCTAAATTCTTTGTTTATAACCCTAGTCCTGCGGCACGCAACAATTGTTGTTGTAAACAACATATAAAAATATACAATAAAAAGCCCAGAGGTATAAAATCTCAGATTTTACTTGTTCAGTCTGCTGTCTCCAAGAAACAGGCAGTTAGCAAGCTCACCATTTATGCTTCCATTACCAATGGTGATTATTTAGATAGCGAAGAAAAATTCATATCAATTCCTCATTCAACTTGATAAACTTACGATGGGGTCGTGTGGCGTAGCGGTAGGGTCTTCGGCTCGGAACCAAGAGGTCCCGGGTTCGAACCACACCTCGGCACCGACCTTGTGCCCTTGGGAAAGGCACTTTTACACAACTTTCCTCACTTCACTCAGGTGAAAATGAGTACCTAGCTACGGTTAGGGCTGTCTCTCGGATAGGACGTTAAATGGAGGTCCCGTGTTTGGGAGAGCAACACCCCACGAACCTTAAAGAACCCACCACACTTATCGAAAAGATTAGGGAACCTTCCTGGTGTGAGTGGTTCAAACCTTACAGTCTGGTCTCAGGTTTGACATCTTTGAAGAGGTGATAGTCACCTGTTATGTAAATCCTTCCACATAGGTGGTAAATCTTCATAAGTAGATAAAGAAACCATGCATCTTATCATGAACGTTCATCTGTGTTGGTAGTAATCATAGTAAAAGGTTAAACTTTATTCCAACACACAATTTACAGGGATCAAATTTTCAGCGACCACTGTTGCCTTCATCAGGATAATTAATGACCAATCACTTCACAATGTGACTTCACACGAGACTTTACTGATACTGATGCTGAATAAGGTCACGTGTTTGTAAATCTTAACTCCCGCGAGATCACGTTGTGAAGTGATTGGTCATTAATTATCCTGATGAAGGCGACAGTGGTCGCTGAAAATTTGATCCCTGTAAATTGTGTGTTGGAATAAAGTTTAACGTTTTACTATAAAACCATGCATCTGTTCTTACACAATACAACAAGCTGAACCTGCAAATATTAGCATATCATCTATTTAGATGTAGCTTGAATATGCACTAGAGCATTGTGAAGTAACCTTGCCTGTAACAGTCAGTAATAGAGAATGTATCTGTCCATCCCCAGGCTGTGTGGGCCCTGGGTAACATTGCTGGTGACAGTCCTGAGTGTAGAGACTTCGTACTGGACCAGGGGATCCTCACACCATTGCTGCAGTAAGACATCACCTTTACTTCAAACAGTGGCTAGACTCAGTGTTTTATCATGACATTGTTGTTTGTTTGTAAGCAGCCAATAATGTTGCCAATAGAAAGTTTTTGTCATTAAGGAGGAGTCATTAATATATAACATTTTTTTTTTACGAAAAGGCTAAACCTTATGTCCAACACTTTGGGACTTACCCAAATATTCGGCTGCCTTCATGGAATGGACCCGTCTACTGCAGTTTCCGGGACGTGACGTCGGAAACACGTGATTGCAGCAGAGGGTCATACGTGGCAGATAACCTGTGTCACCCCCCGTCTCTGTTCAGTGTTGACGGTTGGACCAAATAGACACAGCCTCCTTCACTCTTCTTGCAAAGGAATCTGAGTCCAGAATTTTAACTTTGTCCAGAGTGGTGGACATAAAGTTTAGCCTTTTTGTATAAGAATGTATTACACGAAGTTGAACACAGAAAAACTTTCCTGCTAACATCTCCCTGTTGTTGTTCCAGGCTGCTGACTAAGTCCACCCGGCTGTCCATGACTAGAAATGCAGTCTGGTGCCTGTCTAACTTGTGCAGAGGGAAGAACCCTCCACCAGACTTCACCAAGGTAGGATCTCACACAGGCTTCTTCAGCTTAGTTCAGTAATGTTTGATTATCAGTTAATGGTTTTAGTCATTGAAAAAGTATTACTATTAACTGGATAAGTCGTTAGAATTGTCAATTTTCGGTGGTGGACGAGATGGTATGAATTCCAAGGGCACAACATTATGTAAATTACTGATAAAAAGTATGCACCCCTGATTTGGGGCTTGTTGGAGGCAAATCTGCCAGTCTGAAATGTGAACTAAACTAAAAATACTCACCCCTTCTATGCATATGGACACGACCAAATATGCATCGATCGTCCTCTGATTACTGAGTTTTGTGTAACATGTTTTGTTGTGCCTTCTCAATGTAAGGCCACACCGATTTAATTTTATGGATGACATCCTCTGAAGACCCCCAAACTTGTGCGCGCGGGCGAATAAAAAAAAATTCTGGCCGAAAAATAAAAATGCTACTGAACCACAGGAATACAAAGCTGGTATTGTGAATTCCCGACAGTACTTAGAGACGTATACGACAAGCCGGCACATGCTGGCTTTTTGCGGCATTTATGAATCGGTACTATACTTATGTTACTGAGTTCTTGAGTCGTGGTGCTTCGAATTCGATAGCCTGGGTGCTCAGCTCCGTTTTGTCGCTGACTAGTATGGACTACCCAGGCCTAGAGCCTCGGTGGAGGTGATCTTTTTTTTTTTTGAGGGCGACAGGCAAAAATCAATGCGCGCGCGGATGTCATCCATAAAATTAAGTCGGTGTGGCCTAAACAGGAAGTCAGCAGCGCTGTTCATGTGAGATATTTCTACATAAATGACCCTTGAAGTGTTGGACCATGCGATCCCATTCACTACCAATAACAGTGCTTATTTAAATGCATCATGATACATTATGTATATCCAACCAATAAGAAGCAAGTCTCATGCTCAAACAATAGAAGATGAAGCAATATGGCAGCCAGAAAATTGATGCACGTGCCACCGAGCCCAACAAATTCTGATAAGTCTGTATAGACGGTATAACACCCATTGATGTAACCAGCTTTGCGGGCGCGGCGCGGCAGCAGCTGGCTACATTACACTGGATGATTTGTTTGTTACACATAACCTTTGAACATTGCTTAAAGCTATCTGGTGATGATGCCCCTACTGTACTTAGTGGCAACAAGTTCCACTCTGCGATAGTTCCAGGAAAAAGGAGTTTTTGAACACCTCAATCCTTGGTTGATAACTCTATTTCTTTTCTGAGCTGGTACTTAGTAGTTGGTACATCCGAGTAATTTTGTACATCATGCATAGTCTGGACATTCTGTTGCCTGTCTTCCAGATATGCCTGATATCCATTATAGCTTTGAGATTTGAGCACAAATAACAAACATTACTTGCAGGTGGCTCCCTGCCTGCCAGTGCTGGCCCGTCTGCTGTTCAGCAATGATAACGATGTCCTGGCCGATGCCTGCTGGGCCCTGTCCTACCTGTCTGATGGACCCAACGAGAAAATCCAGGCTGTCATCGACTCTGGGGTCTGCAGAAGACTCGTGGAGCTACTCATGTAAGTTGTGCCATGTGTGGATATCATCAAGTTTTGTCAGAAGTGTATGTTAGTGTCTCTTAGAGTTTAGAGAGGCTAAAAATTCGGAGTCTTTTTTTTAAGACAATTCTCTTCATATAACAGAAGTGTATGTTAGTGTCACTTAGAGTTTGGAAAGGCTAAAAATTTGGAGTCTTTTTTTAAAGACAATTCTCTTCATATAACAGAAGTGTATGTTAGTGTCACTTAGAGTTTGGAAAGGCTAAAAATTTGGAGTCTTTTTTTAAAGACAATTCTCTTCATATAACAGAAGTGTATGTTAGTGTCACTTAGAGTTTGGAAAGGCTAAAAATTTGGAGTCTTTTTTTAAAGACAATTCTCTTCATATACACAATATGGCAGAAATGAAAACAGTGAAAGGGGCCACACCAATTAAATTTGTTGCTTCTCAGATGAGCAAAAGCATATGAAGCAACAGGCCTAGGCAATCTATGATAGCGTAAATGCTACAATTATAGGAGCCATGAAGTCAACACACCAGACTGGAAAACTTACATAACTAGGAAGACGGACATTCTTCAACTGGGCTGATTCAGAATCTGAATTTTTTCTTTAATCTTTAAAAATTGTTGAATCTTGGAACCAATTGATCAGATTAGTAAGGCCTAGGAAATGATACCTTGTTTGAAATGACACATAGAAGTTGACATGTATGGTTGTGTTTCAGGCATAACCATCACAGTGTTGTATCCTCTGCCCTGAGAGCAGTGGGGAATATTGTCACAGGAGATGATGTTCAGACCCAGGTTAGTCACAGGCTTACTGTCTCATTGCAGATGACAATTTCACTAGATAGCAAAGCTGGATTTGTCAGGTGTCTTTTGGTACAAATAGTGGAAGTTCAACTCCAGGGTTTTAATGAGCTACAGCTAAAATATTGAAATGATGAAATAATGATACAGGATTTCACCCCCTGGCAAAGTGGGACAGTTCACACAGATCACAAATATTTAGAGGTCAATGACAGGTCAAACCATGAAAAAGGTCACACCTTTTGGCCATGTTTTAAAAATATACATTCTTCTGTCCTTCTTACCAGAAAACTTGGCCTTTCTGAGCACAATTTGCCCAGGAAAAAAATTATCTAAAAAATAAGTACCAAAATGTATCGGTGTACACACTGCTAGTTCTACGCATGACGATTTGCTGGTCCCTCCCCTTCTGTACAGGTGTAAATGTTGTGACTGTTGTCTGTTTGCAGGTGATCCTGAACTGCTCTGCACTCCCTTGTCTGCTCCACCTGTTGAACAGCCAGAAGGAGTCTATCCGTAAGGAGGCCTGCTGGACCATCTCTAACATCACTGCTGGCAACAGGGCCCAGATACAGGTAGATTAAAGTGCTCATGACACCAAAATATAACCTTAGCTTATTGTAATTGTCATACATGTAACTACATTATGTAGTATTACCTGGCTAACAGACACATTTACAATAAATATGCACGGTTCTCCTGTTACGTTCGAAATTCTAATGCCCTGCCTTGTAAAAGTCAGCACAAGCCAGTCTGGCAGGCGATTTGCATCTCTACATTTTATTTTTGCATGTCTGTATTTTTTAGTGAGCTGACGCGATACGCTCAGGAGAAACACAGAAATGCAAAAATAAAACACAGATATGCAAATAGAGATGCCAGATGTGGGCAATTAGGAAGCTTGCTAGAGAGTCTCCCAAAATTCACTTTTAGAAGGCCGTACAAGCTCAATTTCTCAGTCATCATGATTAGAACAAATTTCAATATTGTATATATTGTATATTGTATGTACACTTCCGATATTTGTAATACTATGTATTTTACGGATTGATGAGGAAATCTGTTTAATGTGAATATTTACTGCCATTTCTTGGCATTTTTGTCCTCATTTCACTTTTTAGTGTCATTTGGTCTTTAAAGCTTTATGTAACATTAGGACAATTCAAAAAGTCAATTTTCTGGTCATATCTTTACAAAGTAAGTTGAATCAACCCTACAGGAAATGAAGGTGCCAAAACATGACATCATACAAGTGTGTTTAAAAGCTGGAAACACAGCTGTCAGTCATGTTTATTTACATTCTGATATTTTATGGTGCCACCACAAACTCAGTGCTCCTTGTGTGGGCTATTTTAGCGCCAACCATAAATGTCAGAAATGTGAGATAATTGCAGAAATATGTTGAACAGTGCAAGTAAATTACAATCAAAGATTGTAAGTATTACAACGGAAAATTTCTTTTCAGTTACAATATTTCAGGTTGCTGTGCAAAAAATGGTACATAATTTCCCTTTAAGGATATGAAACCATTCTTTCTTTGTTAGATAAATTATAGAAGAGAATAAATCCTGTTGGACATGTGTCTACAGGCTACATTTTAATGGAGCCTCCTGTGTTATTCCCCAGGCTGTGATCGATGCAAACATCTTCCCTGTGCTGATTGAGATTCTGAACAAAGCTGAGTTCAAGACCCGCAAGGAGGCTGCATGGGCAATCACCAACGCCACGTCTGGTGGAACCCCGGAGCAAATCAGGTATAACAGTCCACAGAAATGGCTTTCCTCTTGTAGCATGAACTGCCAAAAAACTGTGTGGCTTAGAGGCAAAGCAGTATCTGTATCTGTATAGCTGGTATAACTGCCCTTCGGTGTAACACACCAACTCCGCAGGCACGCGGCGCGGCGGCAGCTGGCTACATTACACCGATCGACTTGTTACACCTAACCCTTGTATATCTAACTCTAGACATTGTTTAAAGCTATCTAAATGATAATGCCCCTACTGTACTTGGTGACAGCGAGTTCCACTCTGAGATACTTCTAGGAAAGAATGAATTAGTTGGTAACTCTGGTACTTGAAGGCATGGCTATTTTGAAATCTCCTCTGTGTTCAACTTGGTAGATGTTGTTATGAAGCAAGTTTGAACTGTAATTTCTGACACAAAAAATTGGACCTGACCAAATTTCTGACTGTACAACTCCAGTCAAAGAATGAGCAATCCATAGCTTCTGTGACGTCATGTTATGCAGATGACACGTGTGAAGGGGGGTGGCACAGACTTTCTGCTAGGTATGATCCACTGTCATCTGCATAATGTGATGTCACAGAAGCAGGGGATTGCTCATTCCTTAAAAAAAGACTGGAGTTGTACAGTTACTCAGTCAAAAATTTGTATTAAGTCCAATTCCTTGTGTTGGAAATTACAGTTTAAACTTGTTTCATGAAGTAGTATGTTTTATGTCATACCTGGGGCGCGATTACGTTCGGTACGGGTGTTCCGGCCTGTGTGATATCTAGCGGTACGGCCCGGGGGTTCTTTACGCGTACGGCCCTGGGCTTCCAAATGTTCCACAGAACGATTCCAACGCATTTCGCCCTAACCGCGTGCACCGCTTTAAAAATTCGAATACAAAATTCCGACGTTGGAATTGATGTTGTTGCATTTTTTTGGTTTAGGGACACCAAATTTTCGCTCATTTCGCATTGAAAGGCGTGTTTTCTTGGGTGGGTATGACATAAATAAAATCCACCATTACTTCTCTCCATAATGATTGTTAAACACCTGTTTCTGTAGATTCCTGGTGGACCAGAGCTGCATCGGTCCGCTGTGTGACCTTCTGACCGTCATGGATGCTAAGATCGTGCAGGTGGCGCTGAACGGCCTGGAGAACATCCTGAGACTGGGAGAGCAGGATGCCAAGATGAACGGGGGAGTCAACCCTTACGCTGTCATGATAGAGGAATGCTATGGTAAAGAAATACTTTGAATTTGAGTTTGATTTTGGTTTGTAAAAGAACTGTAGTAACAGTTAACTAACTGGTGTTAGTAGCATCCTGTTTTGCACTTTTAAGTCAGTGTTTTGAGACTGGCTGACAGAGACTTTCATCCTAATTAAAAGGAATTAAGTACAAAGTAAAGCAAAGCATGGGCATTAAGGGGTACGAAGAAAATTTCTAAGCTTTTTTTAGTAGAGCAAATATTTGAGTGGGAGGCAGTGAATGTTCCATTGGACTAAATCCGATATTGTTGCTTCCCTCTTGGTTTTCACTCTGCTGAATTATCTGTCAAATATGGCCAAACTTCCCCCAACCTTGGGCAAGGTCGGCTACTGTTGGGGCTACTGTTTGGGCAAATGTTTAAAACATTTTAGTGTGGACAGGTGGATCGGCCATGGTTGGCTCATGCAAGTGTTTGGGTGTAGGCCAGCAGTGTTGGAGGCAGTGGGTGGGACAAATTTGACTCAGTTAACTCAAATTCTGATTTGATTTGTATAGAAAGGCAGGCATGGCCTAAATCTAGTCAGATTGCTCTCAAACTTCAACTAACGTTAGTAGGTTGGTGGTCGGGGAAGGTTCTGAGTGTGTGATGGGCACGAGGCAAAGTGGGATGTTGTCAGTGCTTGTGTGTGATTCATTAACTGTGTTACCAAGTTGTTACCTCCGGGGAAGGAGATATCCTTCCGCGAGGAGGTTTTACTATGGTTCGAAACATTTCTGTCAGCAGCTGTTTCTCGTGATCGGCTGGACGGATTTGTCTGTGGTTCGGTATACGTATTGCTGTTGGGCTGCAGATGATGCAGAACGTTTTTGTTTAATTGTATATGTGTTTATGGGCGTCGAAATAAAAGGTTTTTAAGTGCTCCGGACACCCCCGCCATGCTGAAAATGGAATTTACCATGTTGTTAAGGAATGGGGAGGTTGCAGTTTTGGGTCTTAGCATTTAAAAGGGGTCTCTGAGAGGGGTGTCTGCTTCCGATTGATGTATTTTGATTCTGATCGACTGCAGGCGCCGGAAGGTGGTTGGTGATTCATGTTTAAATGGTAGACGCTAGGGCCTTTCTGGCGAAGTCTGTAGCAGTAAGTGACGATGATAGTTAACGTTATTTTAGATCGGTGATTTATGTCGGACACCCCTTAGAGTGTGAAAATGGTCGCGCGGGTCGCAGCCAGCCAACTTCCGGGTGGGCCAATGGGTCAGGGGTCAACGCCCTCTTGCGCAATCTTGGATGTTTTCGGCGTATATTACGACTTCTTAACTTACAAATACCGTGGTATACTGTCTCAGACGTTCTCGACATGCATTTCGCGTTGGGGTAGACGGGACTCGTATCTTCTGTTAATGGGCTGTAGATGGTGCAGGATTTTTTTTTTGTTTTATTGTATATGTGTTTTGGGGCGTAAGATTATTTGTATTTCGTGTCTCGGACACCCGTTACTGTTGTTAGTGTGTGAAAATGTTCGCGCGGGTTGACCATTTGCGGTTACATCTTCGCCAATCAATCAGCACACTCGGCTCGGGGTCGCCGATGTTATCCTGGAGCTAGCTTGGGTACCATCCCCTACCGCGAGTGAGCGATAATCTCTCGGCCAGGGAAAGCCACACGCCCCGCCGACCCTGATTTGCGCCCTGGCTCTCCTCGCGTCCGGATCTGGCCGGGTGTCTGTACAAAGCCTCTCGAGCTAGGGGCGTGTCACTTACCGCGCGCACCGGACGATTGGCGGCTGGCGCCCAGAGCGGGTGTTTGTTTACATTATCGCTGGTCGCTGAGGGTCGGGCAGCCAGATTCGCCACGGGATGCCCCCTGTCCTTTCTATTTTGGGGCTCCAGTCGGCTAGGGGGGATTAGTGATTTCACAGATCATTTAGCCAATTACAAACATTTCGAAACTTTTCGAAAAAATTGTATTCGCGCAAATTCACTAATTTAAAGAACAGTCCCAACATACACCCAACATTCTGCAACATACATTACAATACCCGGAGGTACAAAATCTACGATTTTCCTTGTTCTCCTTTGTTCCTGAAGAAACATTTTTTTCTGTCCTCAGGACTGGACAAGATTGAGTTCCTACAGAGCCACGAAAACCAGGAGATTTACCAGAAGGCCTTTGACATCATCGAGCACTACTTCGGGACTGAGGACGAGGACGCCAAGCTGGCCCCTCAGATGGACGAGAACGCCGAGCAGTACCAGTTCAGCGCTGATCAAAATGTTCCAGCTGGAGGCTTCCAGTTCTAAGTGAGAAACAGCAGCTATCATTCTTGTCTGTAGTTCATCAAGACTTTATTCTTGTCACTGCAAGGTTCTAGCTAGGATGTAATTTTAGCGTAGTGGCACTGGCCGCATGATGAGGGAGCGAAGCGGAGCTTTTAAAAATTTGAGCTTAAAAAGAGGCCATTTGAGGGATACCCAAAGGAAGAAAAATGTTATTGCTAAGATATGTACAATGTATCCTTGATTTTTCACATTTGATCTGGCATTCTTGAACAAAGAAATACAGTCACAATGCCCCTATGCTGTATTAGAAATTAGCATATGGGAAATTTAGTGTAGGGGGTCAAAATTACAGCGTAGGGGGGGGGAATTTAGCGTAGGGGGTCAAAATTATAGCGTAGGGGGCCCCTACGCTACTTTGCACTAGCTAGAATCCTGCACTGTCAATTTTTTGTTTGCTTTTTTAGGATTTTACACTCCTCCGGGAGTCCGTAGTCTGTAGTGAATCACCAACTTTCAGACAATAACTGTAGTCAAATTTTTGAAGATTGCATTACGTACACTTTTTCAAAAGGTGTGATGGGTTCTTTAATGTACATGGGGTGTAGCTCTCCTTAAACACGGGACCTCCATTTAATGTCCTATCTGAGGGATGCCCCTAACCAGGCTGAGTAAAGAGCTGAGAGCATTTTCAGACGTGTGAAGGGAGGAAAGGCATGTAAGATGCCTTTCCCAAGGGCACAACTTAAGGGCATGTTGGAGGATTCGAACCCAGGACCTATCGGTTCTGGGCCAAACACCCAGCCATTATGCCACACGATCCCATGAGTCAGTGTATTCAGTTAGAGTCATAGAGACTACAAGTACAAAAATGTACTGCCCAAGTTAATTGTAGTATGCTACAGTGTAGGCGATATGTTGTACTTACTGATTCCCTGCTGTATTTTGTAGGATCAGCCCCAGCGAGAAAGCCTAGAGAAGCCTGGGCTCTGCCGTTAGCAGCAGGCCATCTTCATCAATGCCTCTCTTCTTAGTGTGCGAGCGAGCGTGTGAGCGGACGGACGAACGTGCGAGAAAGCAAGACAGGGCGTGCCAGAGTGAGTGAATGAGAGATAAAAACTCTTCAGCCTCCACTGTCAGAGGAGCCTGCGCAACCAGCCAACTTCCTCCCTCAAAATTCCACCTGATTCCAGACTTCCCTTCCTCTGCGGAATTCCCTTCCAAGTCTTGGACTTAAAAAAAAAAGATTTGGGAAGACCTGCAGGATTCAAGTTGCAGTACAAGGAATTCAAGGAGTCTGGAACTCAAGAAATGATGATCAAGATCTTCAAGGTCCATGCAATATTCCGAGGAAAAAGGAATTCTTAAGTAACATTTGGAAACTTTCTGCAACCTAGGCCTTGAAGAGGAGAAACGGTAATTCAAGATGAAGAAATACTACAACAAGTTAAGAAGACATTGACAATATTAAGAAGAAGACGGAAAAAAAAAACGAACAAAAAAATGGGAAAACTTCAAGCAAGAAATGAGGATTCCAGGATACTTTCATTTTTACAATAAGTAAAAAAAAATCAAGTTGGTGCCTACTGGGGGCCCAGGTCCTGCCATAGAGCCAGCCTCCTGCCTCGAGCTCCCATCCTGTGAATGAGTGTGAACGCTGTGCATGGAATAAATGACACGTAGCAAACTTAACATAGTAAACCCAGGGTCACGGCTGTATTACTTTAAAACTTCACCATAGAAAAAGAAACATAATCCATGGTATGCCTATAAGAAGCATGAGTAGGTTGATACGTATTTTGTCAACAAAAACGTCTATCTTATTTTTCTGGCAATATATGGGAAGGTGGACACAAAACAGAAGACTTTCTCCTAGTAGCAAAGAAGGGGAACAGGAAGCCAAGGAAATAACATGGCACACTTCTCCTCTCTGAAGGTACTTCTGTTCTTGGATAAGTCTGAAGTTCCCTTTGAGATTCAGGAAGTGCCAGAAAAACAGTCTATGTAGGTAAATAGTAATATACAGGCAGGGGCTTTTCTTGTTTGAGTGTTGATTTCTGTGCAAGCATGCTGCATACTGCTATTGAAACGCAACCATACCTCAGAAAATGATAGAAATCCTACCTTATCCTGCCATTGTTTACTTTGTTGCCATTCAGTTACCTGGGAGTTAGGCAGTGATGTTTAGTCCTATTATGGGAAGACTTAGTTACCGTTAAATAGGCTTCTTCGTGGCAAGTATTTGGTCAGGGAGGATTCATTTTTTGCTGTGATTTTACCCATGTATTAGACTGAAGGTTGCCTAAAAAAGCTTCCAGCAAAAGAGTAACAAAATGTTTAAAAAAAACATTGCCATAACATTGCATGAAACATGGTGTAAAGTTGCAGCACAATAAGCAGACAAGATGGATCCTCCTTGAACCGTGAAGTTTAATAGTTTGTTTGGGTATGAGAGATGCAAGGAAGCTTGTATTGCATCTAGGGAAGTAGACAAGTTTCAAACAAGGTCTTTTAACGTGCTGCTGAAAATATTTGTACTTGTACTGTGTGTTGCATATGGGATTTTGGGACCAGTTTTGGAGGAAAAGATGTGGGGAAATAATGCTGGCAACCTTTTGTAAAAAGAATGCCAAAGAAACTTTTGTCAGTGAAATTCATAAAAAAGGAAAACTGGAAATGTTTGGAACGGGAGGGAAAAGTAGAGCAGTTAAAAGGCCTTAGAGGCTCCTATGAGCCAGTACTAATATAGATATTTAGTGTGGAGTGTGTGGCATGGTGATACAACACACATGCATCGCATGCAGACACACACAAACACGCACGCATACACGCACACATGACATACATACAGAACAAATACATGCGTGTACACACTGCATACACAATGTGCCTATAAATAACTACAGATACCAGACTCCTAGCATTATCGCAAGTATAAATCAAACGTGGTATTTCTGTTGACAGATGAAGAAGTATTTAGTCTTCTAATATCCAAAGGTCGTTGCCTTGTGTGCAAAAGACTGGGATACATACAGTTTGTTGTTCTTTCAGTGCTGTCTTGAAAAAGATGATGACAACAGAATGTTGACAGGTCATTTAGGCTTCACTTTTCTATAATGTACCTCTTTGCGTCAATTCCTTTTGCTTGCATTGTGCCATCATCTAAGTATAGTGTAAATGTTTTCATATTAATTAACTGTTGTAAGACTACAACAAATCACTTGGATGGACAAAGGATCTTCCAATTTTCTTACTCAATGCATCCTATACAAGTAGGCATGTGTTAAGTTTACAAACTCACAGAAGGGTATATGTGAAGGTGTTGATATACTGTATAGCAGACAGACATGCCCTGCTGGCCAAAACTTCTGTCAGCTAACCATTCTCTTGAGTAAAACCAGCTTATTGAGTTAATTTTGCCTTCCACTTTAGCATTTGATGTACAATGTACCTTGATAGCATGCCAATGCTCCCGTCTGAGTATTTAGAGGTCATCTTGACATAACAGAATGTACATTGCTCTATCACTGTGAATATGTTACTCCAACAGTTCTCCAAGCCTCTTCCAACCCTGATTGTGAACAGATGGAGTATCCCAACTTCTGACAACCCTTGCAGGATCTTTATGTTACAAACATTATGTCAGAAAGTATTATTACCCTGTTTATTAGTTATTTTTGTCGTATATTTCCGTCAGGGTTGTCTTTGGGATATTCCGTTGCTAGGAGAAGGTTGGAAGAACAAAAACTGTTGGTGACAATGCAATAGTCAATCACATACATGTTAATGCAGTGCCTGGAAGGGTCCATTTACTATTGACTGTCATCTGTGGCCCTTTAAAACTGTAATGGTATATTCCATCTAACATTTCTACACTATTGTATTAGCTTGAATTGTATTTCCAAAAAAATGTATTTAGGTTCCTTCCATTTGTACAGTATTTAAAGATATGTAAAAGTTCTGCAACAAAATGTGGATTTCGGTGCAGACAGCCAAAACGAAAGCCCAAAAGGCAAAAGTCACTCTATGCAAAATCAAGAAAGTGAAATTTACAGAGCTTCTAAAAAAAACCTACTCTATTGTTTATTCTTAAGTACAAAATTAAGATGTGTGATATTTTGAGCCTCTGTATTCTGGCCAATTTCAGTGTTCTTATTGTATTCTTGTGTTGTGTTAACATTTCACCACAGATTGAGCCTATGATACCGAAGATTGCAGACATTCTCAAACACTTCACTTGGCAATAAACATTTACAATCACTCAGGCAAATATTCCTAGTACCAAAAGTGTCTCATTTTGTTGCAAATTAAGTCAGAAGAATGTTTGGTTTCATATTTAGCAGTTCCAAGCAAGCCTGGCTCTTCTGTATTGTATACCTACAAATTCATGCTGGCAGGGTGACTAAGTACCTTTGTGCAATCACTAAGTCTTGTTCATTTCAGTAGATTAGAAAGATATGTATAATCTTTAACTAACATAAAACTGTTCTGTGAATATCTGTTTATGTCAGCACATTTAACATCAGGTCATTCCAATGACGTTTTCTACCCAATTATGCAGAACATTTGGCAGTGCCTTTTGGTTTGTTTGCCTTTGCTTGCGATTGTCATCAAACCTTAAGTCTTCAGTGTTCTTGATACAGTTTTTATAGAAGTTTGGGAAATTTAATAGGAAAAACAGTGGTCATTTGACTAGGGTTTTTGAATCCTTTCGGCTTGTCCAATCACCCAGTCAACATTACACAAGATAATGCATTTGGCAGAGCACTGGAACGTAAATTGTGTTATTATTATACTATGATTTATGAAATACCAAGGATTAAAATTGTCCTTGAGTAAGACTCATTGTATCAACAACGTAAAGAAAAAAGGCTGTCTAACCTGCTAAAAGGTACAGCATTGACAGAAACAGATATGCACAAATCAGCTCAGTAACTACAGACTACATGTATATGGTGCTGTGTTGGTAATCTTGATATTTATTGATAAAACGTGAAACAAATTTTACCATATCAAGGTCAACTTCACTTTCAGTTACAAGAGGCAAACATTTTTTTAGGGTTTTGTAATATTTCTGTAGCCTCATGTGAAAGTTGGAGGTTACTGTTGGCTTGTCATTTCATGAAAGTTAATTCTCAAAGTATTCTCTTGTACCCCCAAAAAAGCCCCCACTGATAAAAGATTTAAATGGCTCGACTATTACTACTACAGCTTGGCCGTTCAGGGAGAAGCTGAAGATCCATATATTGCGTGTTACTGCTGAAACTTTACGTTTGTTTTGTGAAGACGTTTTAAAAGAAAAATTGAGATTGTCCCTGTGACGTTTATTTGGTAACTGCTAAGTTTCGACTCAACGTATTCACAACGTAAAGGAAAGACTGTCTAGCCTGGTGCTAGGTTGTACAATGTATTTGCTATGTAAAAAGTAGCCCCATGTCCAAGGTGCTGCCAGAATTTTTACCAAAGCAGTGCTGAACGTTCGGAAAAAAATGGCCATGCCTGCAGTGCAGTCACTTATTTTCAGGAATTCAGTGAAGTAAAGTAGTTTAAAAAATTAGTCCATTATCATTCCGTCTGCATGCCAGATCTAAGAACTTTTATTTGATATTTTGACTTACGAAGACGGTAAAATCTTTGTCCAATGATAGGTAACTTTCTCCATACAGTATGTATTAATGCACTCCTGACTCTCTGTATACATGTACATGATACTCAAATGTAATTGCCTTGTGAAACGACTACAGTTAGAGAGTTCTGATCAGCAGCATTGAAAAAAAAGTGTGACGTCATTGACAAGTTTTGTCATATTTGAAAGATACCTGAATATTGTAATACCAAAGGAAAGTAATCATTATGTACCTACCTTTTGTTATGGAAATTAATTAATCAATAACCATTTATGATATCACTTCCTAGGGAAGCAAAACATTGTACAATGTTCGGTAATCAGGGAATGATTGTTCCATTCTTACTGTGCTGCACAGAATTCTAACAACAATTTGATCTATGATGACAAAATGGATCAGTAATTAGTTTGTGTGTACAAACATTTTCTTTTTCCATCACTGTAAGTAAGATACACTGTAGCTATTTTCTTTGAATTTATTTGAATGTATGTCATTCAGTACTAGTTAACCTGCCTTTGGAACACTAGCTACCCTTGGGTGCCAATATGATTATTCTAAAAAAAACTTATGCTCATAACAGATAATTCCACATAATTCAGCTGATGTTTAAAAGTGTATAAATATGTGAAGTTGTAACCTCACTGACTGGGTGACCTCTCACCACCATGTTATTTAGCCTTGTGACCTCTGACCCACCTCTTAGCATCTGTGCCAATGTAACCATGGTAATCAGTTACCATGGAGACAGAAATTTGTATTTCCTTGACTCTAGATAATGTATTTATTTTGGAAAACACTGAACTGTATCATAGAACCAGACCTGTTCTCAGTTCTCGTACGAGACTATAAGATGTGCTATCATCTTGAGCAAGTAATGCTGCTACTACTTTCTAGCCATGATGCAATTTTTGTACTTTTGACAAATCGACGCTTTTGACGGAAAAAAAACCCGACGTGTATACTGTATCTGACAAAAGGTATTTAAGGAAGGACATGACAACATATAACACACAAAATCTCACAGGGCCAGGCAGTTTTGTCTTCTGTTGGTAAAAATGGTGAAAATGTAAAGGAGACAAAAATGTTGCCTGGATTGTGAGGTAAAACAGTTTCCTGAGATACAGGGATGTCCCCATGTTTCTTCACCAGACTTAGGACAGGTTCTAGGTAGTATTTTAAGGGATCTGTCTAAAGTGGTTTAGAATATGTAGCTGTAATATGGCTGGCAAGAAACATGGGTCATCCCTGTCCAGTCCTGATCACCCCTATTGTCCTGTAAATGGAACAGTCCTGAATTAGACCACTTCAAATAACTACTAGTATATCTTCTTTCCTCCTCAAAAAATATATGATTTGAAATGCTTTGGACTGTGCCAATGCAAGCATAGGGTGGATCAGGGTGTTCAGGAAACATAAGACTACACTCAGACATACAAGACACCAACAAGATACACACACACACAAACACCACACACATACTGTGTGTATCTCTTGTATGAATGAATAAAGCTTCTTGCATAGAAAATTTTGGGTCTGGTGTCTTTATGTCTGCCTTGTGTTGTTATCTACGATTAGTGTGTCAAATGCCAGACGACTATTCGAAGATACATGTTGTTAGGCCACACCAATTTAATTTCTTGGTTAACGGATTCGCCCGCTTCATTTTTTTTCTGATTTGCAAATAAAAATAAAAATTCAGAATCAACTGCGAAATGTTCATATTTTGCCCTGAACAGTTGAAAACAGTCCTTTTCATCCTAGTTGTTAGTTATTCCATCTTTCAATGCAATGGTATTAAAAGTTCAAAATTCATTGTTTAAATTTTGAACCAGCCTGGTGTGTTGACTTCATGGCTCCTATCGTACCATTTTGGGCCATAATAGGATGCCTAGGCCTGTTTTTATTTTTTTTCGCCCGCCCGCTCCATTACTTTTCTAGAAAAATCCGTTAACCAAGAAATTAAATTGGTGTGGCCTCTTGAAAAGACAATTTCAGCAAAACAGAACCAGTGTTAAAGTATTACTCAATTCTTGGTTTCATTTTTTGGTCACAACTTAGCTACTAAGCTTTAAGTTTGAAATTGCCATTGTAATGTAAATTCATTTGTCAATTTTTAGCAGAACTTCAAGTTAATCAAAGCAATATTGCACACTATTACACAAAAAGGGGAATTTCATTATAATATCGTAATTATACTTGATTATCCTACTTTGAAGTTCAACAGAAAGAATGAGAAACTGAACAAAAGAGATGCAAACTATAAAGCCACAAATTTCTTTTTTTTATTTCACTTCATATTCATAAACAATTGCTTGGAATCAGTAATGCTCTAAACTGCCAACAAAACTTCATTTTATCTGTCTGAATATTTGGACATTTAAAGCATCACAATCAAGTGAAATAAAACCTACACATCACTTTTTCACTTTGAAGAACTGAAAGGCTATCTTGCCAGTACTGGTCATCAAGTCTACATATGTACATCAACCTAAAATTAGACAAATAGTCCTTTCAAAGTACAAAATTACTTCAATTTCAAGTTTGCCTAAAGCTTTCCCACCCAATACTATGTTTACTTTCACAGAACAAAAACAATTGTTTTTTTCTCTGTTCTTCAATTCCAAACAAGTCCATGGCCTGGACCAGACGTCTATCATCATGGTAACTGCTGCTGTAGCAAACACCCTGTGGTGTTGGGTTACATTATGTAGCAGATCAGAGATGGTGGGGCTGGTCCCCTTATTATGAATGTGTTTGAGTAAGAATAAACAGAGCGGAACTTTGCTACTACATGTACATGTAGTATGCTAGAAGATGTGAAGACAATCATTATACATTTGCTATGTTACTAGTTTACTACTTGTTTCATTTTTAATTGGCCAATGATCCCTACAAACTCCTGAGTACATGTATCACATAATCTGTTGGTCCTCTATAATATTTGAAAAACCACCTGCAACATGCAACATGAAAATATAGAATTTGTTGATGGCTGATGATTCTGGAGTATCTGTTGAAAGGTGCTTTGAAGGGCAAACATCACAGTTGTATTGTGCAGTAGGGGCATTGTGGATAACACCAACAATGTCAAGTTATTTTCCTCTAAAATCTTTTTCATCAGCTGGACGGGGGTATTTTTTTGCATACTTTTGATAAGTAGGATGTAGTCTTGTGTGGTTTGATCAAAATTCTGGGATCAACAATGATTTTGAAGTGTGGAAGGAGACAGCTGAGTAAGCCAGTTTGTGTACATGTATATACCGATTGGATGCCATGGTTTTTGTGTTCAGGCGCCTTCACTGCAACTGTGATGCGTGCCCTGTAGTGACAATATAAGGCCACACCAATTTAATTTGTTGGTTCTCGGATTCGCCTCTTTGTTTTTTTCTGATTTGCAAAAAAAAAAAATTGATTCTGGTCCTGAATCAACTGAAAAATGCTCATATTTTGCCCCCCAACAGTTGAGGAAAGTCCTTTTCTTCCTAGTTGTTACAGTTTTCCCATCTATCATTGCAGTGGTTTGATTAAAAGTTCAAAATTCAATGTTTAAATTTTAACCCAGCCTTTTGTGTTGACTTCATGGCTCATTTTGTAGCATTTAAGCCTATAATAGGATGCCTAGACCTGTTTTTATTTTTATTTTTTTCGCCCTGTCGCTTCATATTTTTTCTGAAAAAATCCGAGAACCAACAAATTAAATTGGTGTGGCCTAAAGCTCAACATCTCATAAACACTGTCCCTATTGATGATCCCTGCCACCAATGTTCTAGCCAGCCTTAATTTTTTCCATCATCTCAATTTTGTTTGACATAACATTTTGAAATCTTGACCCACCGAAACGCATTCATTTTGAGGGGCAAATTTTGCTGGTGGACTAGGCCACACCAATTTAATTTCTTGGTTAACGGATTCGCCTGCTTCATTTTTTTCTGATTTGCAAAAACAAATCAGAATCAACAGCAAAATGCTCATATTTTGCCCTGAACAGTTGAAAACAGTCCTTTTCTTCCTAGTTGTTACAGTTATCTTTCAATGCAATGGTATCATTAAAACTTCAAAATTCATTGTTTAAATTTTGAACCAGCCTGGCATGTTGACTTTATGGCTCCTATCGTACCATTTTGAGCCATAATAGGATACCTAGGGGCCTGTTAACCAAGACATTAAATCCGTTAACCAAGACATTAAATTGGTGTGGCCCTAGACATCTCTTTCCATGTCTCTACACACCACTTTTTGTCCACCAAAGATGATAGATTTTGCAAAATTTTTGTCTGTCATGAGCAGCTGCAGTATTCCATGAACTGGTGGAAAGACAGACACTGCCTAGAACACTGCCTGACACACAGGATAGGCTATTTCTCCTGTGCTGCTGCAGCTGCCTGTTGTTCTAGCTCTTTCCGTCGCAGGTCTGCTTTTCTCTGTATGTTTCTCTTCAGCAGAGACTCCCCTCTGTCCCTCTCTGATCGTCCCCACATGGCGACACCAAACGCAGACAGGAAGGTCAGGACAACCAGGAGTGTAGAAACATATACCCGCATCTTGTCTTTGGCAGCAGTCAGTTCATCATACCTGCAATACAAAGTATATTCATCATCCTATAGCTAATATATCACAATATGTTGGAAAGAAAGTTACAAATAAAAATTTTCTTTCATATGAACTGGTTTCACATGTTTCACAAGTCAAAGTCACATGAAACTGTGCACACAATCATCATCATCTAATAATAACAATAATTTTAATGATTATTTTAAAATTATCAATAATTTTTAATATATAAATTATAAATATTTAAAATTAGCAATAATTTTCATGATTCTCAACACTAACCCACTATTAAAATAATTATATTACTTTTTCTAAGCATAAAAGTTGGTGAATTACACAATGAGAAATATATTGTTTTCCAACTTTTAAGAAAAATTGACTCGCTGGAATGTTCCACTGAATCTCTCTCTCAGTCTTCATTAGCTATCCAAGGACTGGATGTAACTATTTGGTAAGAGGAGTGAAGGAGGCTATCTACATGTACATAAGGGCACACCAATCATCTCTCAACCGGGACGGGGGGCGGTACAGACTTCTACCTGTAGTTGCATGGGTCAGATGGCTGATGAAGACTCAGAGATTTTGTCAAAAATTCTGGTGAGCCGAATCCTTTTTTGAGTTGGAGAACAGTTTATATCTGCTATGATCTCGTTACTTACGAGACTTCTTTTGGGATGTCAGCTTTAGACGGGTAGCGGCCTGTGAACACCAACATCCACTTCTCCTTGTCATTGGGCATAAAGCCTGGCATCCTGTGTTCAGCTGCGGGTGGGTTGGAGGAAACAGTTTATTTAAATTATATAACAACATATTTACAGTCAGTAATACCTTCATAGCCTCTGCCAGGCTTCAGAAGCAGCTGGAAAGAGTAGGCCAGATTGACAGATAATATGATTTGGTGGCAATCTATTAGGTGTTACGTTGCTGCTAATATGCTAAATACCCAGTGAGTGTAGTAGCGTAACCCATGATGGTATGACAATTGAGTTACTGTAATTGAGGTGTATGCACATAAACATGGGGTAGTTTTACGAAATATTGTTGAATCCAGGAATAAAAGACCTTATGTGTGATACCATGTTTTTTTTGTTGTCTCAATTCTTGTTTTATGACCTCAAAATTTGAAAATATAAAAATCTTTTTTTAGCCCTATCGCATTAGATTTGGAGTCTGTGGAGAATGCCATCCATAGAATTTACTTGCTGTGGCCTGTAAACTATTCAACTTACCCTGGGCATTTTCCTGTGGTTGTTCTCTGTGCACCACCTCAGTCCTGGCCTTCTCCTCTGTACAGAACCGCTGTAGACGGCTGGACAAGACGGGTGAACTTCTAACAGCAGACGACATTCTGGGTACTGACATCCACACAGCTGGCCGGCTGGCCAGACGGCACAGAGCGAGCACGACTCTTGGAAACATTATTTTCCCCTCGTCTTCCTCTCTATGAAACTACAGAAATATCGAGAGCCTCCTTGATAGAAATCCTGAGGGTAAATAAAAATCTCAGCTCAAAATGTCCGCCAGTAGGTCATGCACGTCGTAAACGTTTAGAAATGACCTTGACGTAATATTTTATAGGTCAAGGATATGCAAATCTAGAGTTGTTGCCGTGGCAACAAGTTGGAGAATACGGAGTCATAGAAACACGTCATGCATGTACGTGTGTGTTTCGACGTACATTTAACATGAATCCGTACGTGCACCCACACACACACACGAAAATATATCAAAGTACGGACGGCACCATTACGTAAATAGGGGTGTTGACAATTGAATGCGCTTCCTTTCGAATCAAATTAAAATCAATCTTATATGCTTACGGTGATTCTGATACAAAATTGAGATATTTACATTGCATTGATATCCATCTCAGATTTTGTTGCGATATAAATTTTATCATTGAATCCTTGCCACCTTCCCTTTTCTGAATTGTAGTGGTCCATAAACCTCGTTTCCAGGGTTTTTAAACTCTTTAAAGTTTTTTTTTTACTTGAAATCGTTTTTTCTTACTTGAAGTCTACTTCTTCCACAATTTCATAAAAAGTCCATTTATTTTCTGTTCAATAATCATCATAAAATCCTTCAGTGTCTGAAAACTTCATCAAAACTTTTTTTCATATACCTGGGAAGGAGAGTGGTGTTTTATGCGCAGTAACCCACTGCGCAATTTTCACGACCAAAATGGCGGCGCCCAGTGGTGAAATTTCGGTGACCTGCGACGATTTCTTGGAATTTCAAGTAAGTTTTGTGACGTATTCTGTGCAATTCAAGTTCAAAGTCTGTCGAGACTAAAGCTGTACATATTTCTGTAACGGTAAAATTGGTCTTCCATTAGAACCTTTCGAGACTCGTGAAGTAAAAAATTATCATGCCACATGCCCTTCCCACTCTTGTACATACATGTACACATGGCTACAAATGGGAAGTAAGGGACTACCTGTCTACCAAAGATGAATAAAAATAAATAGATAATGATTTATAAACAAGTTAAGATGCCACCAGCCAGCTTCACATTGATTGATTCAGAACAGGGTCTTAAAAATGTAACGTTAACCATAATCCCATATAAGGCCCCATATAGCTATAAAGGAGAACAATTTGGCGACGTCTCAGGGAGGAGCCTGATGGTACAGTATTGTGTGCAATTTACAAGAATTCTAGGAATTGTACAGGATTTTGTCCACAGACATGGAATGTCCACAGGAATGTCTCCCTGCTGACACACATCTATGCCCAGTGCCCACATTCCTGGAAACCCTTGTGAAGACCTGTCTGCCCGGATGCCCTACTTTCTGTGACCCCGGGGCTCATTCACTATAAACTCAGGGGAGGGGTACACTGTATCTGTCTAGACTTAACAGGTACCAAGTCTTCCTCAAAATATGCCTTGCCATGCAAACAATAACCCTAACAACAACCACCGTCGCCATGGCAATATATATGTTTTCATTGCCAGCCTTGTTGTAGAAATGGTTTTTTTCTACCACAGGAAGCGCTGAAGAAGTTCCGGACCATAGATGACAAGATAGTGTACCAGCTGAACACAGCCATCCCAACCAGCTCATTCGCAGACAAGGTCAACGCAGGGACGCAGTGCAAAAGTCTTTATGAGGAGGTAACTTTTCTTTTTAGACCAACCAGTATTCAATACATGTACCATTCTCAGGATCCTTGTCATTCTTTTGGCAAACATCATTGTGAATTTATTTTGTGTACTGTAATGAATGGAAGGTTAATCCAGATCATGGAGTTAAAAAGAGAAGTTTGAACCCACTGTCTTAAACTTGAAGTTTAACTTAAAGCTGCATTATGTAACATTAGGACAATACAAAAAGTCAATTTTCTGGACATTTTAAAGAAAACAACTTGAAGCAAGTCCTACACCATGGCAAATAAGTGCCATTCAAGTGGCGGTGCCAAAATATGATGCTGTAAAAGTGTGTTGAACAGTGTTGAAAACACAGCTGTCATTATTTCATACTTGAAGTTTAAGCATGTTTGTTTACATTCTGGTGGTACCAAAAACTGAGAGCACCTCCTTGCTTTAGTACCAACCACAAATGTCAGAGATATGTGTGAGATAACTTCAGAAATATATCGAAAAGTGGAAGTGAATTGCAATCACGTGAAGATTTTTCAATTAAAGTCTTTCAGTTTTTGGTTTTAAAAAGTGTTAACAGTACATTATGCCCCTTTAAACTTGTTAAATCTTGTTGGCAGCTGTCCCGAGGACACGTCCAGCGGGAGAATGCAATAAGGAAATGTATCCAGCAGGTGTCTCAACAGGTGGCCAAGCTGAGGCAGGCCAGGGAAACTGACCACGATAACATCAACCTTCTCAAACAACTCAGAAAGGAACAGACAAAGGTAGGAGTTTAGGCTAGATACCGTTCAGACAGTGTGCCTATTTAGGCCATGTTGATTTGATTATATGGATGACATCCTCCGGGAACCCCAAAATTGATGCGCGCGTGCGAATAAAAAAAAAGTTTTGCAAAAAAAAAGTTGTTTTCATTATGAAATCTATGTGGTCATGAGGGTTGAACAAATGGGACAGAATATGGTTTGGCGAATAATCTAGTCTTCAAGTTCATTTCTTTACAATTTCGTCTTTTTTCGTTTGATTTTGGCATTCTACGACATTGGTATGGGTTTTTTTTGTAACTTATGGTATATTTTTGCTCATTTTGCAAATGTTTTGTACGATTTACAGTATGGTTGAAAACTTTTTTTTTTTTTTTGGAAACGGCCGAAAATTCATGCGCGCGCGGATGTCATCCATATAATCAAATCAACATGGCCTTACTGGAAAACATGGTATAAGTTATCTTATGCCAAAATACAGCAACTTGGGGTGTTATCTCATCAATGCAGGGTGTATTCCGGTAGATTTAAGCTCTATGTGTTTTCCGGTGTATTCCGGTAAATTGGCAGACCCCCATTCAGAGGTTACAGGCTAGACTACCTTCGCAGAAGGAAAACATTTGGGGTTTTGCTCCGTTTTTTATTCTTATTCTCCAAACAAATAACATCAATGACCTGACCGGATGGTTGTCACCATGGTAACTGGTGCTGTAGCAGAGACTCTGTACCTACTAGTATAATAGATGTACATGTAGTAAGATACATTGTACCAGAATTGTATCACTGTTATTGTACATTATCACCATGACCTGTCATTGTAATTTATATATATATAACTTTTTCATTCATTCATGTACCAGAATTTTATCAACGTTGTTGTACATAGAAGTTTATCACCATGATCTGTCATTACAAGAGCTTAAATTTAAAATTATACTGTATATATAACTTTTTATAAGGTATTTCATTCATTATGTTTACCCATTGTTTTTGTTACATTTCCTCTTCATTTTCTTCTGGTCCAAACACTCCTCTGACCTGGCCTTCTTGTCACCATGGTAACTGGTGTTGGGTTACATGATGTTGCAATTTTATCAGTAGGAGGGATTTATACTGTCTGACCATATATATTTAATGTATTTGAGTAAGAATTAAAGAGCAAACCATATGTGAAGGTAAGCATTATGCATTTGCTTTGCAAATGTTATCTTTATAGTTTATTTGACTTTGTATTGAAGAATGTAACGTTATATAACTGATTTTTCCTGCAGCTGAGGTTAATGCAGCAGGAGATGAATGTGGAAGAAGTGGTCAGGGACAGGTCATTAAAGGTCAGCACCAACTTTGTCTTCTCTTCAGTAAAATGTATACCATTAGTCCTCAAACATACATACAGAATACACTGTGCTGTATTTTATCCATATTATGTCATACCCACCTAAGAAAATATGCATTTCAATGCAAAATTTGGGGTCCCTAAAAAGTTGTAACATCAAATCCATCCGAATCGGGTATTCTAATTTTCAAAAATGGCACCCTCATAATTTTATGGTACATTTGGGAGCCCCTGTACCGTACAGGTAGTTACTAGTATCACATGGGCCAGAACACCCATATCATCATCAAATGTATCTTCTGATATGGATAAAGTGTAATGTGTTAACAAACCTTATTGTACTATCATGAAAGTTCATCTGTGTTGGTAGTTACATGTTTAAAGTTACAACTTTTGGTCCAACACAAAAATTCTCTCACCTAGAGCTTTCCACCAGTCACTCTGGTCTTCCTCAGTAGACTGACCCAGTGTTGACGTCACACTTCGAAGAAGCCACGTGACAAGCTGTAACTTTAAACAAACCTTATTGTTTCATGGTAAAAGTGTTGTTTTTTTTCAGTCTAATTCTTCCTAACTTCTAAGTTTATCCTAGGCTAACAATACAAGTCTTCAATTAGTAAGGTAGACTTTGATATAATTTGATGTTAAAAAGCATAATACATGTATTACCTTGTGTTTTTTCCTTCCAGATTTTCCAAGAACGTTGTCGAACATTCTACAAACCGCCGGCCTCGTCCTGACCGCGGCAGTTCTTATTGTACTCAGGATAGACGTAGTTAACTTCTTCCAATTTCTGCTGTTGTGACACTGAACAACAGACAAGTTTTCCTGAACTAAATAGAAGTCCAGTTTATTTGTCAAGGTACAAAATGGGTTTACAGGGAAACAGTTAAACTCAAGCAAAAAAAAATCCATACAAAAAAATCAAGACATTTTGGATACTCTTAGTAGTATGTTTCTTCTTCAGACCATAGATTATGTAAAATGACTGGGAAGTATTTTTGAACCATATCCTTATGAACCATATTTTAGTTACATGGGAGAGAAAAAGTATGAGAAGTCAATACCTTTTAGAAATTCATAATCATTATGATTGATATTTGTACAGAAAATTATGATGGTTACAGTGTTGACTTTTGTGAAAGTACTACTGCCATAATATCAAAACTACCTTTCAGACATGTATGTAGGTCCCACATTTTGATGGATATAGATTCTCCAATAAAAACAAGAAACATATTTTATGGCATATTTTTCATGTCTCTGTGTTTATTCTTCTTTGACATACATATAGTTATGTACTGTTACGTATTAGTTGAAACATATTAATATCATACTGGTAGACACAGTAGTATACCAGCATTACTACATGTATGTAACAACTAGCATAGCTTACAAAATTAAACTCCAAATCTTGGAGTCATATGCAAGTAGCACAATTCTTAAGGTTTTATATAATACTCAGGTACAATTTTGAGGTATTTTTATCTTTCAGTACTTTAGGGTATCAAAGTTTTGTTGATGAGAAGAGTTGGGTTCTAGCCAGCGTCTGTCTTTCCATCATTTGATAGCATTTTGTCAGTCATGACGAACACAAATTTTGCCCAATCGATTATATTTGATGAACAAAAATCGAGATATGGAATATGTAGGAAAAGATGATGATAGAAAGAGATGCTGCTAAACTAAGGTTAGTCTACCTGCAAATTTTGCCTCTCAAAATGCAGGAAATAGCCTTTCAAAGGGTCAAGATTTCTAATTTTCATGGGAACACCAAAGAAAATTGACCAAATGACCAAAAAATTTCAGGCTGGCTTAAACACTGGTTCAATATCATAATAATACATTATGATTTACACACCACTTATAAAGTTCCTGAAGCGTCAGGACTCTGCGAGTTCTGAAGACTCTGTTTTTGCCTTCTTGGCGGTCTCCGTGTCTCCTGGTGCCTGTCTCTTCAGACCCTTCATCTTCCTGGTCTGGAGTTTACTGAAGTCTTGTCTCTCCATGTGGACACGCCCCATCTTAGCTCCAAACACGTCAGTCTTCACATTCTTCACCTTCTTGGGCTGAAACATCCAGCAGAAATCTTATGAACAAACCTAATCAGGCCTCAAAATTAACTTCTTTTCCTATTGTCCCAGCACTGTCCCAAAACCCCAAAATAAATTTCAATTGTACCGAAGTGAGGATGAACTGTCCCAACCCATTTTTCAGGAGGTGAACTTGAAGTCAGCTTTATTTTGCTTACATGCTGACTTCCAGGGGCGCTATAATTGTATACAGGAAATTTGGGGGAGCTTTTTCTGGAGCCAAACAAAAGAAGGGCTGACATTCTGATGTTGACTATTTTTCTATGTTGTCCCCAAAATGTCCCAAATTGTCTTTTTATTATTAGTTGTCCCAGCTTAAATTTTAGTGGTCAGTGGCCATTGGACCACCTTTAATTTCGAGCCCTACTAATGAACAAACTCCCATTTCATAAGCACTCTACATGTGATATCTGCAGCAAAAATGTTAGGACTGTAATGCACAGAGATGATACAAAACTTCCATTGTTACTCCGTGAAGGAGGTCAGGACCTCCGGACGGAGTGTTGTGATCGGCTGATTTTTCATGTTCGCAGTCAAAACACTGGGTTCTCTTTGTGTAATCGGCACGCAATTTTATACGCCGTCTGCGGGCATGCCCGTGTTGATGCACGAATGTGTATTTTTGCCGTTGCTGCTTTCGCGGTCAATGTAATATTGCAGACGCACCCCTACAATTACGAGGCGAATTGGAATGATCCAGAAAAACGCGTTGTTTGAAATAGCAGTGGGGGGGTGGAACTTCATGCAGATACGGGGTGGTTTTTATAAGTGGTTCCAGATGTTTTTGCCCATGCTTAAGAGATGCCAAGTTTTTTGGAAGATGTTCGCAGCCAAAACGCATTCTTCCGTACGTCGCATTTCTGTGTAATCAGGCATGTGGTGTGGCATTATGTCCGGGATGATGCACGTCTTTTTATTTTTACCGTAGCTGTTTTGATATTGAAGTAAATGCATATTTTAGAAACATCCCTACTTTTACAATCCTGTGGAATAGGCCGTAGGTTTAGGCAGTTGTCTGGTAGCAGAGGTTCTGTAAGCAGATATCCTGGTTATCTGGCCGGCGGTAGTAACACTCGCGGTGCTTACCGCAACTGTTGCTGGCCTGTTCCAGGCGCGCTTAATTAGGTACAGGCACGGTAAGACGGTTGGGCTGTCTTTGTTACTAGACACGACCATGATAGTCCGATCTTTATGTGAATGCAATGATTGTGTGTGTGTAATTAAAATGAACTTCGAACTTGAAGCACAGTATCTTTACACGCCCTGGGAGCAGTAATGGATTTAGCTCTTTGTATGTTTTATGCTTGTGACGCGCCCTCATTGTATTAACCGTTGCCTAATTATAATGTCTGCACAGTAGGTCTGGCGTTGACGCTTGGGATTTTGTTGAAATATATAAAACTTCACGGAGGATTGTCGCCTATGGCTTCTTGTTGGAATTTCAATTCTGAATTTGATTCAGTAAAACTGGATTTTGCAAAGGCCATTTTGTGGTCATTTTTTTTTATATACTAGAAGTAAGCTGAATCAATTCTATCCCATAGTATACCAATATCTTAGAGGCAAAAATGTGATGTTGCTTACTACGGAATATTCTGAATCATATCTATTGATGGTACCAAAAAAAATTGACTGCACACATATCTTCTTTCTGGGCTATGTCAAATATAAAACGATAATGAAAATGTGCTAAGAATTGGCAGTAAATGTTAATATCTGACAGATTACCTCATCCAGAATATTTTGTTCTGAAATTGCATTGTATGCCTTGTAGTTAAATTCTGTACCTTGCCCTTCTTGGGTTTCTTGCAGGCCTTCTTGTAGAGGTCATCTGAGGCCAGGCGTGTTCTGCGTACCTCCAGGTCCAGCGCAGGGCCGATCTCCGACAGTTCCACACGAGGGGTACGGCTGCCGGACTTCTTCAGCAGGACTCTGGATAGCACAGGATAACACATGGAATCACTGTCAGGGCTCGAAATTCATTTTTTTGGAATAGGTGCACTGGTGCACCCAACTTAAAAAATTAGGTGCACAAAAAATTTTGGGTCACTAAGGTGCACATGCACCCAGTATTTCCAGCCCTGACTGTTCTAGCCAGCATCCGTCATTTCACCAAATGATGCCGCTTATAAAGGACACACATTTTGCCCAATCTTTGATGGACAAAAATGGGTCTGGCTATTTACCGGAATACACCGGAAAACACATATAGAAGACTTAAATCTAGCAGAAAACACCCTGCATTGATGAGATAACAGCCCAAGTTGCATACAGTAACTTAAACGTAGCCCAGGGTACAAGAAACCACTTAAATAATGAATCGGCGGAGGCAACCCAGCCATACGCTATGTAAACAAACATGGCCGCGTTTTGTAGTGATTTGTTGTTCCCTGGGCCACGTATAATTTATGTTATGGTCAAAATACAGCAAATTGCGATGTTGAAGTATAAACGAAATTTTAATTTAGGTTCATTTAAACAAACATATTGCGTTAGGCTATGTAAACATGGCGACTGGCCGGCATGTCTGGCATGAAAGGTATGGAAAGAAATGTGGGACTTGAAGTACTTTTAGGGGGCCTTCAGTGTGTTCAACTATAGCCTTCAATCATGGCAAAACGTAATGGTGTTATTCCTGTCCAGTACTCACTTGTAACTCCTGACCATGACCTTGCCGTCCAGCGCTGTAAACTGTAGCACATGTTCTAAACCCTGTAGTCGCACGTTGTTCGCCTTCACGCCTCGGAAAAAGTCTGGCGAAAAAACAACTTATGTAAGGGAAAAATAACTTCTGTGTAAGGCCACACTGAATTGATTTTATGGATGACATCCCCGCACGCATTGATTTATGCCTGTTCTCAACAAAAAAAAATCACCTCCAAGGAGGCTCTGGTCTGGGTGCCATCCTCCGTAGTCCATGGTAGCCTGCCCTAAGTTACAACAGGCATCTTGGTAACTATGGAGGATGGCACCCAGGCTGCCGAAGCTCCATGACAAGAACACAGTACAGTGCCTATTCATCAATGCCACAAAAGGCCAGCATGTGCCAGCTTGTCGTAAGTCCCTATGCACTACCGCCCGCAAATTCACAATACCAGCTTGGCTGTTTTTTTTTTCCTCGCCCATACGCACTTGTTTGGGGATCTCCAGAGGATGCCATCCATAGAATTAAGTCAATGTGGCCTAACTGTCCTTATAGACATGTCATCTAATAAAACAGTAACACAGATATTTGGCAAAATGTGTTATAATGTTGTTTCATGGTTTCTGCTTTTGTTTTGGCCTTACTAATACATGTCTAATACAGTTGAGGCTGCCCACCTATCAGCATGTTCTTGAGCCTCCTGTGCTCGTGGTCCTGCTCGAAGGCCTCTCCTTCAAACACCAGGCAGGGTTTGGTTCCCATGGCGATCTTCTCTGTAGGGAAGTCCTGCATGGACCTGAAGTTCACCACACCCAGCTCTACCATGTCTAACACATGGTGGTCATACAGACGACCTGAAATACATACATTAAAGGTACATTACGTAACATTTGTGCATCAAAAATTGAAATATATTTTGAATGGCTTATTCAATTTTTTTTATTTATAATTCTATGTCATTGTTGCAAGACATCACATATAGCAGCAGCCTTCAGTGGCAATAAAGATACATATTAATTAAAGCTAAACATCTTACAATACTCACTTTTAGTATATGTTTATTGCTTATTTGTGGCCCTAACACTTACTTTAGAGTAGATAAGGTAACTGCGTAAGGGAGTGTGCTGTTCCCATATTTGGTGGTTCTACATTTGAATTGCGTTACATTGTATGTCTTTATAGACCTAAGATTCTTGCTATAGAGACTGAAATGATTTGGCAGCAATCATTTCGAGAAAGATAAAGATGAAGTGATACCATGTGAATTCTAGTGTTAGCCGTGTAAAGCTGGAAAGTAGCTCCCAAAGAAAGTAGTTCCCAGAAATAAGAGACTTTTGGAAATTTGTGGCGTCGGGTGGTGTAGTGCTTAGAGCAATCGACTATGAACCGGGGAGACCCGGGTTCGATTCCGAGTCGTACCCGGTACATGTCTGAACATGCGCCCCGACGTTGTGTCCTTGGGAAAGGCACTTTACACGACTTTCCTCACTCCACCCAGGTGTGAATGGGTACCTAACTTTGGTTGGGGAAAGTCGTATTGTGGCGCCGAATGGCAGCCGCACAGACCCTTGCAACAGTTCCACAAGAAATAATTGTGGAACAAATATGTGTATCATGTGTATTATTTGATTGTTGTGGTTTGTATTGATTATTATGTGATACCCTGCATCAATTCAGCCGTATAAAGGCTGCGACTGTACGGGTACTGTTTGGACAATAAAAAAAAATTTAAAAAACATTTTAAAAATAAAAAAACTTATTGTTTGGCTATTGGTACTGTTGAGAAAGGTTGACAGCAGTATCTACATGTTTGCACAAAACTCACCAAGTACAAGGTTGTTTGGTCTTTTTTTGCTGTGGGACCCAAACAGGAACAAGGAAGAATCATTCTTCTGGGAGAAAAACTCCTGCAACATAAAAACACACAAATGTCATGTATTTGCAACAGTATCACGCATTCACAAAGACATGTTACCTGGCTACCATTGACAATGTCACCGTTCAAGAAAAAAATAAATCCAAACTAACATTTCCACGGGCACCATTTATAGTGATGCATACCGGTTCACTGGACTTGGATCTGGACTTGTAAGAATGTTTAGGTTCAAGTAAAAAAAAACCCCTAAAAGTCAAGAACCGAGTCCGGACTTATTACCATAAAAGACCATTTCACATCCCCCTTTTCTTTCCAAACCTTTGCAAAATCTTTGCTGCAAAATGAAGAAAACATTGCCATCGGGCATCGTCAAGTACCGGCCTCTATGTTATGTGGCCAAAGTTTCACCCAGACAACATTGCAAGGTTGCCAACATGCAATTTTGTATATGCCATGGCTTTAGGCCCGGACTTACAAGTCCAGAACTGAACCTAAACCTCTGGACTTGAATCCGGACCTGAACCTAAATGTGGGTTTAGGTATGCATCACTAGGTACCAACATTGTTTGATTCTTTCAGGGGGTCATATAATAATACTCACTATTGAGGACTGGTCATCAAAGGGTCTCATGATGTTTTTCCTGCAAGAGAAAGAAAAGAAAATTTAATTTAAGAACAAAAATGGTAAGTTGACTTCTAAAACAAAGTCAGTACAAGCAAGTTTACTTTTAAGTTTTTACTGTACACAGTAGCTTATTGGAAAGTACATGACATGTGAAAAAAATGGACAACAAACTATTAAGAGAATAAGACACAAACCTTTTGAATGAGATGGCATTTGGTTTCTTCAGTAAATACTGGAAAAACAAGAATGGACAACGGTTTACCATATCAGTCTGATGTTGGGCTGTTTATAGCATGCTTGCTTCTTAGTACATGTACTTACATTTGAGATCATTGCTTATTTATTTGTTATGGCTTCACCACACTTTACTGGGCTAGTAGTGATTATCTAGTTTTATCTACTATTTTTGCATTTTTGTTGTTAGTAGTAGTTGTATGTGTTTTTCATACGTCTTTTCATACTTTGCATTTTTGTGTTTCTATTACTTTATTATTTACAGTACGTGTATTAACATTATGTTTTTATTTTGGATGGGGCATAGCAAAAGGCTACATCCTGTTCCCCTGTCCAGTTACCTACATGTGACAAAGCTGAATAAATAAATGAACAAACAAAAAAACAAGGAAACATAAGGTAACATACCAGCTCCTTGAGCACCTGTGTGATAGTCTCACTGGTGTGTCCACCCTTAATGAACATGGCCACCTTGTCGTTCTCCTCTAATTTTGGTGCTCTCACCTCCAACGCTCGCTTTGCTGCCTGGGTCTTGGGTTTTCTGAGAATGAAGGTATCAACTGTTAAACTTAAAGCTGCATTATGTAAGATTAGGACAATAACGGGGGGTGCCCTAATTCTGACCCATCCCTAATACCGAACTAGTTTGAAAAATCCTTGTTGTGGTGTTATGCATGGGAGCACGTGCCTAAAAATAACCACAAGAATGGACAATGTTTTTGTGTTGATATCGGTAAGTAATCTCACAAAGTTTGTTTTAGTTCGTACACTCCGACAACAGACTGTGTGAATTCGACGCTTGTTCGGGGGTTGACGAGCATGTAAAAAATGCAGGTTTTGCTTTTCAAACAGTCGCTTTGGAGCAAGTCGCGTAATCGTAAAAAGAAGACTTGTTTGGGACAGAAAACAGTTGTAGATAGTTTTAGTCATAATTTGTGTATTATAATTTCTAAACTCTCTTCTCAGATCGACCTGTGTTAAAGTTAAACACTAGGTCGGAATTAGGGCACCCCTGTTGCGATAGAACGTTCCACCGGCAAAATGACCAAAAACCTGCCGTAAGTTTCGCGAACCATTACGCTTGGGTGCAAGGCGCTACACTTAAGTGAAATTTTTTACACAGCTGAGCAGCTTTAATCGTTGTGATCTTTATCTGTCAATATTATATCTCATGTGAGCTCATGTTGCCCTGGTTTTTGGTCAGATAAACTATTGCCAAAGGTCTGTGCGTTTGCATGGAACATAGGTCGGAACTAGGGCACCCCCCCGTTACCAAAATATTCAATTTTCTGGTCATTTAAGTAAGTTGAATCAACGCTACTCCAAATTGCATATAAGTCCAATTCAGGAAGTGGAGGTGCCAAAATTTGGCACCAAGAGTCCACGTCTAGCGGAAAAATAGACGTTAAGCAGGGACAACAACAACAACAACAACAAAATATGACGCCTTACAAGTGTGTTCAATTTAAAAGCTCAAAACACATTTGTTTACATTAAGTTAAAATATTTCAATCTAAGTTTTATTATAACTAAAAAAATGGAACTGAAGCTCCTGATCTGGCCGGCCGAAGGCATAGTACTAGTACTCTACTCTACTCTATATTACTTAAGAAACCTGAATATATCACATACTTTTGCGCCGGTGACATAAATTACGTCTATTCAGTGTAGTTTTGATTTCTGTCTTTACTACTCTCTGATAAAGGTTCTTTCTTGTCAGACTTCATGTTTTTATACTTTTCCTAACACGTGTGGCAAATAAAGGGGGAGGGGGGCACCCACACGGCAGCATGGCAAGAACAAAAGCACTGTTATCCTTTCATTCATTCCTATATAAACTTTCTATGAAGTACCTTTGCCGATCGGATTATCTAAAGTTTATGAACATACACAGATATATCTAAAGTTGTCAGAAAAGATAAGGTTTTCATACAAGTACTTACACGATTCTCTGCATGACTGTCGCCATTTTGTTCACTAGCGCCGCTAAGCGACAAGTAAAGGTAATGCAGGCAATTTGGGGTTAGACCCCTGACTTCGCTGGACACGACAAATATGCCCGGATAACAAATAACACACTAGGACCTACCGTTGTATGTAAAAGAGAAACGTGCGATTTTTTCATGTGTAAATCATGGAGAAGATAAAGTGAGAGAAAAACAGAAGCAATATCGTGAACTATTACATTTTACTTACACTTGACTTGTTTCAGTCTGTCTTGAGTGTTTTGAATGATGAAGGTGCAGATGTTCTGATGTGATCTGGAAGAGTTACTAGTACGTACAATTTCGAGCACCTATGGAGGAATTCGAAGGACTTAGTAGCTGCTGATGTGGACACGGCCCATCTTAGCATGGATGCATGGATGAACTAACTGTTCATCCATGCATCCACTAAGATGGGCCGTATAAAAATATCTTTATATATAAAAGTCTCCCTCTGACGCATAAGCTATTCAGCGGCTGATCTTTACAAGAAGTTTTAATAACTGTTGTAGCTATCAACCTTTGTGTCTGTATCTGTCGCTGTCACTCATCATCAGATGATCCCGGAGATTAAAAGTTCTTTCGGTTATTAGAACATTCCGTTGTTATTCATCTCTGGCGTGAGACACGAAATGGCATCTTAAAATGCGTGGGACATCATGTAGGGATCGAGATATAATTTTCCTGCAAACAACGGTTATTAAAAAATTCTTACAATTATTCGATTAACCGGTGAATGCGTCCCGAACCACGTGCCTCATGAATGTGTATTCTTCTTCCTTTTTGGACTCCGGATTGTAGAATTTGTACCACCGCACACCGGGGCATGCCCCTACTCTTTTGGTGGGATGTGGTGAGATCTTTAACGTGCGTGGGGTGTGGCTCTCCCCAAACACGGGACCTCCATTTTACGTCCTATCGTAAATTTTACTCCATTTTACGTCCTATCCGAGGGACGTCCCTAGCGGAAGCTAGGTACTCATTTCCACCTGAGTGAAGTGAGGAAAGTCGTGTAAAGTGCCTTTCCCAAGGGCACAAGATCGGTGAAATGGGTGGGGATCGAACCCAGGACCTCTAGGTCCTGACCCGAAAGCGCTACCGTTGCGCCACACGACCCCACACGTATAGTACCCTACCAGAACATCGACTAGGTAAAACAAAATTAAGAACTAATACACGTTAACCAAAGATACTCGGGAGCCAAAGCGTGTACTACAAGCCACCAAATTTTATTTTGAACACCTAAAACTATACATGGCAAACTAGCTGAGGATATTACAGAAAATGACAATTCCCAACTAGACAACTTACGTATACGAGGATCGACGCATATATATGCGCTACATTACATATAAACAATAAACCACAAAGAGCTACACAGTCCGATTTTCAAATTAGCTATAATAGCAGTACAATTACACTATTACATACCAGAAGTGCATGGCAAACTATTATAAGTGGAAATGATAACATTACATTGCATCAATTACACGAAGTAACGACTCATAACAAGCTATGCGGGTCAACCTATGTGGCCTGGGCAACATTACATACGAATGGCGAAGAGCTACATGATAAATACATACTGTTATAAACGTACCCTACGTTGATAGTCAAGATTTTTACAAACATGTATACTTCAGATCCCAAGAACTACTGTTTTACTAGCGTTTAGAACATGCATCGACCGGTACATTTTCACTATGGACAATTATTACTGGCCAACTACAAAACATACATGTATATCTGACAAATAAACATATACAATCATCTTCACAACAAATTATACTACAACCAGACTAGATAAATGTGTATCTTCTAGGAATCGTGTTTTAGTTCAAGTGTACATGTTCTCTACAAGGATGACTACGCAATCTCGTTTAACACAATACAATCACTCTTCAGTTGTTGTTTTTTTATGGGTTCACCACACCACGAAGTGGTGGTGAACCCATATTGCTTTTTCTGATGTTTCTTCTCCTCCTTCTTCTTCTTCTTCTTCTCCTGCCATTTTTTAAATGGATTCAGCTTCTTCATTTTAGGGCCCAAGGTCCTGAAATTTGGTATGGAGGTACAGTGGGCAAATACCCTTAGGGGTTTTTTTAAATTTTTGTGATACAGGCTTTTAGAATGGTTTTATTTGAGTTTTTTGGCTGTGTTATAGCAAATGTATTACTGTGTTAGTGTGCCGTGTTTACCACGTCTGGGCATGAGTCATCACAATGGAATGCAGGGCATCAACCAATAGGCATGCAGCTTTCCTCTATACTTCTTGCTGATTGGCTGTTGGGATTTAACTTGATTAACACCTGCACAGAGCATTTCCATACTGACAGTATGTCTTTATTCAAGTGTTTTGGTAGGTATTTCAAGCTTTTCTGCTCCAGCATTGGAATGCGGGGCATGAACGTTTTTTTATTTATTTTGAAAATCAACAGTTTGCATTATGCAATTAAAAATCCTAACCAATAAAGTAGGGAATAGCTATCCAACTGTTGTTTTAGTTGTATGTTACTTCATATTATAGTTATATCAATGTAAATCATTGTTTTCCCTTGTGTTTCTCATTCTTTCCCTGCCATGTCGTAAAATGTGATGAACCCATCGCTGTATTTGCTCCAAAGCAAATATTGGCCTTTCTAGTTTCCTTTTCTCTTTACAATACCGTTTTATGCTGATACCGTTTTATAATGAAGGCCATGACATATATTACTCGTATCATGCCCAGAGCATTACAGTGTTATGTTAAAGAAAGCCAACTTATTGTGGCACGGTTCCAGGCTGAAGAGATAATGACTGTGAAAGGGTCTTCTTTCTTACAAGTGAATGAACGGAGTTAGTGAACAAGTCTTGAAAATTGGTAAAACAAGCCTACCTCTGTCCCTGTGGATACTCGATGATACGGTGGTCCTGCTCCTAATCCAGCTTCCTTGCTTGCCTGAATTGTTCATTTTTTTTCTAATTCAGATGGAAATGTATTTTCAAAGTGAATGAACACAGAGTCCTTTGGTAATTCTGTTCCTGAATTGTCCAAATCTAATATTCCACACGTCTTGTTTGGGCGCACGTTGAACTGTTTCAGACAGCAAGTCCTTATTTCGGGGTGTCTCTTCTTCAGGATTGGCCTTTGTTGCAATGGCTTGTACCTAGCCCTCCCATGCTAACTTTGTACGCACAGGCGGGCGGTCCGAAGTGTGTCCTGTTGTTGCCTGGTTGTTCTCGGTGTCCAGTGTAAGTGTGGGGACGTCTTCTGCTTCGGCATCCGTGTATAGTTGTCCGGGAAGTGTTACCGTCATGTTGTCTTCAGGACGTGGTGTTGGCTCGGCGTGCACCTCCGCCATCACTGTTAGCCGGAACGGTCGCCCTGTCCCTGAGGCGGTCTGGTGTTCTGCACGGGAGGCTGGTCCGGGGGTCGTGTCTGCCTGTGTTGTCTGCTTTTCTGCCGGGTCTGCAGGCGGGTCCTCCGCCGTGGGCTGCATGATCGGACCCGCTGGAGCTGACGCCAGTTCCGAGGCCGGTGCACCGCGCCGCCCGGGACCGGTGACGGCGGCCATCTCCGCGTCGTCCTGCCGATACCGTCGCGCCGGTACCACCGGCGGGTTAGGGTTGGTCCGCCATCCGCACAGCTCCCTGCACGCTCGGCGGAACTCTGGCAGCCGGAAGCTGTAGATGAACGGGTTGGCTAGGGATGATAGCGTCAGGAACAGGAGGATGGCCGTGCGGTCAGCGATGATCAGGGCACGTTGGGACATCTGCTCTTCGCTGATCAGAGCTCGCATACGTACCATGGCTGCATGGAAAAGGGCAGTGGTTAGAGCTGCAGCCAACACGATGGCATGCGGCAGCATCACTTTGAACGCCTTGGTCTGGAACACCCACAGGTCACGGTTCTCGTCTCTTTCCTGTTGTCGCCTGGCTTCCTTGAAGACAAGGTAGTAGATCATTGTGATGAAGAGAACAGCAAGTAATAGGACCAGTACGGTCATGCCGATGAAAATGTCAGGTAAGGTAGTACTGTTCCCAGGAACTGTGGCCATCTCACAATGCAGGCTGTACGTGGGGACTTGGCGTCCGCCAAAGGCCACAGGCGTAAGTCCGAGGAAGGAGAAGGCTCTAAACGCCAAGATGCCAACGACCACACGTCTTGTGGTGACTTTGTCATGGTAGTGTAGGGGATCACACACGAAGTAGTACAGGTCTACTGCCATCATGATGTATGTACCGTACATAGACATCATACATGCGGGCGCTACCAGTGCTTTAGTCGTACACCACAGCTGTCCCCCGGTGTCGTCTTGCCGGAGAACTGCGTGGATACAGACGGGGATCAGGCAGCCGGTGAAGATGATGTCGTCTACCGCCAGGTTACACCGCAGGTAGTGGCTGGGTTTGTGGAGATACTCTTTCTTCCAAACCAGGAAGATGAGCAGCAGGCCGCATCCTACCGACAACACCAGGCTGATGATGAGATACGCCGTCTGCAGATCACGAGATGTTGAGCCGATGGACAGAACATGGTTCGTGTCATCTTCTACCGGTGTACCCTCCGTTTCTTCTTCCATATTGAAGGCACAAAACACGCGTCAGTTAGCCAGGGGTAGTGTTCGTCTCTCTAGTTAGCCAGAGAAATGACTAGTACTGGTTAAAGACAGCCAATTTATTCAGGCGCAAGAACGCGATATCTTAGCGATGTTGTTGAAAACAGCCTTTGTAGATATGAATCTCCCTCTGACGCATAAGCTATTCAGCGGCTGATCTTTACAAGAAGTTTTAATAACTGTTGTAGCTATCAACCTTTGTGTCTGTATCTGTCGCTGTCACTCATCATCAGATGGTCCCGGAGATTAAAAGTTCTTTCGGTTATTAGAACATTCTTGTTATTCATCTCTGACGTGAGGCACGAAATGGCATCTCATGATGTGGGACACCAGGAAGGCATCGACATAAAGGTCTCCAGCAAACATCTGTTATTACAAAATTCTTCCACGCCGACTTGATTTTATGGATGACATCCTCTGAAGACCCCCAAACTAGTGCGCGCGGGCGAATAAAAAAAAATTCCGGCCAAAAATAAAAATGCTATTAAATTACTCTTGAACTTGCAAATGTCTCTAATATATTTGGTGAAACTTGTATATGGAATGTAAATGTAATTTTGATATTTAAGATGCAAATGTGAGCAAAATTTGAATCTCGTTATGCTAAATGTGTGAAATATGTTGACTGTGCAGTCATTAATGTTTTTAAAAGAAATGATGTACATCTCTGAACGCAATTCAGCTTCTGCTGCAATGTTCGTGATTTTAGCAATAAACCATTTTTGATTTGATTTGATTGATTTGACATGGATACAAAGCTGGCATTGTGAATTTACGGCAGTACTTAGCGACGTATACGACAAGCCGGCATATGCTGGCTTTTTTCGGAATTTATGAACCAGCACTGTACGTATGTACCACGTTTCAAGACTCACGAGTTTGAGTCGTGGAGCTACGTAGCCTGGGTGCCATCTTCCAGAGTTACCACCTCCGTATTGTCGCTAACTACCATGGACTACCCAGGCCTAGAGCCAGGTCAGAGCCTCGGAGGACGTAATCTTTTTTTTTTTTAGAATGTCATCCATAAAATTAAGTCGGTGTGGCCTTATTACAAAATTCTTCCAATTACAAGATGATAACGGATGAATACATGTCTCACCACAGGGCGAACGTGTATATTAAATTCCCTGAATGCGATAGAAAATGGCCCGTAGCAAGCAAATCCTGTACAGAGTGAAATTATGCACGTGTGTCTATCATACTCATCTTCGTAACTCACCTTCACCTTTTCCCATGCTAATTACACCTATAGTAGTATCATACTATTTTGAATTAATAAATGAATGACCTTAATTGTATGTTTATGCTCTCTTATAAAAGCTAAGAAAAGGTCATTGTGATAATGTAGTTCTTGGTACATTTACCATGCATCTTATTACATCTACGGCTAATGTATCTATTTATGTTTAACTTTTTTAGGTATCTTAAGATAGTTGTAAGTATGAGAACATATGGAGTTTATGACACATGATTGCATGAGTGATATGAATGATTTCTTGGCTATCTACATATCAAGGCAATGGAACTTATTTAGTCTCCAAATGAAGAGGATATTTATCTCTTTGGCATGCATCAAGAGTGCGTAATTATGAACGTTTTATATTTGTGGATTCAAAATTTGACCATAGTAATAGTAGTGGTAATATATACTCAACTAGAGTTCCACGATCTGATACCTTCGCCAAATGATGTTAGCCTTTATGACTAAGAAATTATAGATTAATCCCCCTGATTGCGCAAATAGGATCCTATATTGCATCAATTATATCTGTTGATCATATTCTACACCAGAAGTCTTATCTTATCAAAGGATGCCATTATAGTATTTCCTCATAAATTATGCAAATGAGGTCCTTATTTGAATAAGTTATGTTTAATTATGTTCACCTTCACATAACTTTCAAATATCTCAAATATAAAATTCCAGGCAGTTACCACTATGTAATTATAACATTTTCTCAATAATTATGCAAATCAAGTCCTCATTTGCATAATTGATATCTGCCTGTATTTCTGCCGTTCTTAATTACATGTGACACAAGCTTGAATAGTCCTATCATGGAATACAGCTGATTTATAGAATTTCCACATTAATCATGCAAATTACATTAATATTTGCATAATTGTAATGTTACCTACATGCCAAAAATCACGACGATCCATCAGTCGGTTCTTGAGTTATCAGCCTTTAAACATTTTTCAAATAACGCCTCGTGTCACTTCATTCCCAGCCCAATAGCTATCTAAATTTCATGACCCTAGCATGTCCAAAACACGAGATATAAAAACCGGAAGTTCAGCTGCAGTACCATAACAAGCCGCTAGGGGGCCCAAAATCTAATCATTTCCAGGTCTCATCAAGACCTACCCACCTACCAAATATCAAGATAATCCATCTAAGCTTTCTCGAGTTATGCTGTTGACAGACAGACAGACAGACAGACAGACACACGGCCAGGAAAACATAACCTTCGTCAATTCATGGCGACGGTAATTAGCATTTCAAAAGAAAGTATATGATTATTGTGCGTTTTCTTTTTCACCAAAAAACTAACTTCCAAATATTATATATACCAAGTATTTTTAGAAAAAGCCCCTCCCTTATCTTCTGATAGAAGCACCCTACAGTGTGGGCGGACCAGTCGTATTATGGCCTCATAAAGCCATGTTGATTTGATTATATGGATGACATCCACGCGCGCATGAATTTTTGTTACAGATCAAGCGAAAAGTTTCTCCTGGCCTCCGTCCCCGACGGATGGTATTTTACAGAGCCCACTGTAACACGGCCTACAGCAACTGCTCCAACAGACATTGAGAATTCCTCTCCAACGGACGGTTCACGACAGAAAAAAAACAAGGAAGCAGCGGCACTGTCTGATAGAGACGCTGCGGAGTTTGACGTGTTACAGAAGTTGTCCGAGCGAGCAGACGGTCACAGAGAGATGCAGACAGCCGCGGATATCCAGCAGCTTATAACGGGGACGCAACAACAGATAGAGAAATAGAAGCCTCGGCCAATCATCGCCCGTTTTACATGCAGAGAGGCTGAACTGACAGCAAGGGAGGAAGTGTGGAGAAACAAAACGTATCTTCATTACGGATGATGTGCCTCTAATATCCAGGAGCTCACGAAACTTATCATTATAAGCCTCGTTCCAATGAAATTTACAATATTATATATACCTTGGATCATAGAGAAGAGCACTTTTGAAGCATTGTAAGTTTATGTCTTTTCCATCCTTCTGTCCCCTGTAGGTTTGGACGGCGCTGGCCTCTGCTTCTGTTTGGAGGCGTCGCCCGTATCGTGGCCTTCTTCATAGATCCCTTCTTTTTTTCATTAATCTATACCATCAAGTGGTTTTGGCACCTAGTAAGGGTGCCACCACAAAAAGTACCACACAGAGCATACAAGAACAGAAAATCTGGATTGAAGGCCTGAGAACGTCCCAGGAAGACGTGGGTATAAAGAGTGTGAAGGACACCCTGACTAGGTATGGTATACCAATAATAGCCGTCGGCCGCCAGCTGTCCCTCCCCACGACACCCCAGACGGTAGAAGTGGATGGATAAAATAAAGAAAGGAGGTTAACCTCCTTAAGTAAAGTATTAAAGCTATACTGTCCTGATCAGTAGGTCAGCAGATTTTTCACCGTTTTTTTTTGTTGTTGAATGTTTGGTCAAAGTTGCATTAGATTTTTTTCCATACAGCATAAATTTTGAGACGAGATGTCATCCTGAAAGAAAATATGCGAATACGACCTTAAACGAGACGTTCTGGTTCTTACGGTGCTATACAAAAGTATTTGTCCCCCATGTTGGTGGCAGCATTAATATAAGTTGAAAAAACTTGAGTGTGTCGTCACCACGTCTGGTGATTACATGTTGGAATAAAGAAAAAAAAAGCACAATACGTAACGGATCTCGCGCAGGTGCATTGCGTCCTGCTGACGTGTGCATGTACTACACTGCAGTCTTTTCAAGAAGCTGAATTTTAAAACTTTTTTATTCAACCATAAAATACAAAAACTACACTCTAACATTTAACAATTGTTGGAACAGTTCAACGCAATTAGACTAAGTCACACAGATTTTGCCACAGGCAATTATAAAGGTGACTTATTTATTTACAGAGATTAGTTGATCTCGACGTAGTTAGAATTTTTTTATTATTTTTTATTCAAGAATTCAAACATAATACACGCATAAATGAAACTAAATGATACAAAAAAAAACTGCACAAAAACATGTAAACGATTCTTAGAACAGTTCAATGCATTTCTAATTGGTCAATTTTACAAAAGCTAGTTATAAAAGTTAGAAAGTGAAGTCGTGTGGCATAAGGAAAGAGTGTTCGGCTCGGATGCAAGAAGTTCCGATCGAACCATGCCATGCCACTAATCTTGTGCCCTTGGGAAAGGCACCTTGCACTGCTTTTCTCGCTTCACTCTGGTGAAAATGAGTATGTCTATTGTACGTTCATGCATTTGTCCTCTGTGTACAAATGTAGGTGGCGGCATAAAAATAAGTTGAAAAAAAACTTGAGTGTGCCGTCACAATGAGTGATAAATGTTGGAATAAAAAAGATTAGTAGAGGTGGATAGAATTGCAATTTTAACGTCTAACATCAGAAGACTTTGACAGACAAGAGATTTCACTTTTACATGATGGCAAACGATTCACTACTTCTCTTAATCAGTAATCTTGTTATTTGCCATGCATTGTACCTGTGACAATCGTTATGCAATAAACTTTGACTTGACTTAATTATCCACAATCAAAGATTTTCACTGAAGACGTTTAAGCGTCTCCTTGATACTATCAAACAGCGGATCGCATGTGTAGTGATGTCGTTTCCATTGGCATTGCTGGAAGTGGACATTTTGATGGCAGTTTTCCACATGTCAATGTCGTTTGGTTTCTAAACTGTTCGCTGCACAAGGGTGGGTTTGCATATGTCTCTTCAGAGAACCCAGCTCACTAAACTGTTTGCTGCATTCCTCACACCTGTAGGGTTTCTCACCAGTGTGATTCCTCATGTGCTTCTTCAGATGACCCAGCTCACTAAACTGTTTGCCACACTCCTCACACTTATAGGGCTTCTCACCAGTGTGAGTCCGCATGTGTGTCTTCAGATTACCCAGCTCACTAAACTGTTTGCTGCACTCCTCACACCTGTAGGGTTTCTCTCCAGTATGAGTCCTCATGTGCCTTTTAAGAGTATACAACTCATTAAACTGTTTGCTACACTCCTCACACCTGTAGAGTTTCTCTCCAGTATGAGTCCTCATGTGCCTTTTAAGAGTATACAACTCATTAAACTGTTTGCTGCATTCCTCACACCTGTAGGGTTTCTCCCCAGTGTGAGTTCGCATGTGTTTCTTCAGACTACCCAGCAGACTGAACTGCTTGCTACACTCCTCACACCTGTAGGGTTTCTCCCCTGTGTGAGTCCGCATGTGTTTCTTCAGATGACCCAGCTCACTAAACTGTTTACTACGAAGGCCCACAACGACACTTCCACAGCGCGCTTCCAAGGTACCTTCCATAGCGCGATTCTGCGAACCTTCCACAGCGCGATTCTGCGAATCTTCCACAGCGCGATTCTGCGAGCCTTCCACAGCGCGATTCTGCGAATCTTCCACAGCGCGATTCTGCGAATCTTCCACAGCGCGATTCTGCGAGCCTTCCACAGCGCGATTCTGCGAATCTTCCACAGCGCGCTGCCAAGGGACCTTCCATAGCGCGATTCTGCGAACCTTCCACAGCGCAATTCTGCGAATCTTCCACAGTGCGATTCTGCGAGCCTTCCACAGCGCGATTCTGCGAATCTTCCACAGCGCGCTTCCAAGGTACCTTCCAAGGTACCATCCAATCAAAAAACGTAAATATCGAACTCGGTTAGAATTGGGGGAAAAATTGTTTAAATGACCAAACATGATAAATGATATGTGTGCTTGCTTTAGAAATAAAAATAACTCTTGATTTACGTTTTTTGATTGGATTCACAGCCAAAATAGTGACGTATTTTAAGGTGCAAGTCTGTGGGACGGCACGACCCTTGACCCATCAGGTCACAGGTCGTCCACTATAAGGGACCGTCCGCTAAAATAGGGGAGGGTTGTAGGGCCTCGTGCAGCTCGCTGTGGAAGGTATGCGGAATCGCGCTATGGAAGGTCCCTTGGCAGCGCGCTGTGGAAGGTTCGCAGAATCGCGCTATGGAAGGTTCGCAGAATCGCGCTGTGGAAGGCTCGCAGAATCGCGCTGTGGAAGATTCGCAGAATCGCGCTGTGGAAGGCTCGCAGAATCGCGCTGTGGAAGGCTCGCAGAATCGCGCTGTGGAAGATTCGCAGAATCGCGCTGTGGAAGATTCGCAGAATCGCGCTATGGAAGGTACCTTGGAAGCGCGCTGTGGAAGTGTCGTTGTGGGCCTTCGTAGTTTACTACACTCCTCGCACGTATAGGGCTTCTCACCAGTATGAGTTCGCATGTGTTCTTTCAGACTATTCAGATGACTGAACTGCTTGCTGCACTCCTCACACTTGTAGGGTTTCTCACCTGTGTGAGTCCGCATGTGTGTTTTCAGATGACCCAGCTCACTGAACTGCTTACTACAATCCTCACACCTGTAGGGTTTCTCCCCTGTGTGAGTCCGAATGTGTTTCTTCAGATGACCCAGTTCACTGAACTGCTTGCTACACTCCTCACACCTGTAGGGTTTCTCACCAGTGTGAGTCCGAATATGTTTCTTCAGATTACCCAGTTCACTGAACTGCTTGCTACACTCCTCACACCTGTAGGGTTTCTCACCAGTGTGAGTCCGAATGTGTTTCTTCAGACTGCCCAGCTCACTGAACTGCTTGCTACAGTCCTCACACCTGTAGGGTTTCTCACCTGTGTGAGTCCGCATATGGCTCTTCAGACCACCCAGCTGACTGAACTGCTTGCTGCACTCCTCACACCTGTAGGGTTTCTCACCAGTGTGAGTACGCGATGAAGCTGATGTCAGCGCTCTTGTTGCCATGGTGATGAAATGTTTCTCCTGAAGAAATAATGAAAAAGTCCAAAGCTTAGCGAAACATTTAAATGATATTATGTAAGATTTTCACTATTTTAAACATCGTTGTTTTACACATTCTTGTGCCATACGCCTACCTGGGTTCATAATGACATTTGGGGAATAAAAGATCAATGTTGTTGCGTCGCAAAGACGTCTTGGAAGCTGCCGAAGATACCCGAACGAAAGCCACTGTTTGTTTACAATTTTTACATTCTTTTTACTAAAAAGAATGTATTTTTAGGAGCCTCCTAAAAATACAGCGGGAATGGCGCAACTTATTCTCGCGCTGCGCTGAGTCGCCGGAAAAGCGAAATAGTGACGCTAATATGTTGAAAGTTATTGCAAATAAAAACCTAGATGAGAAATGTGCAATTACACATGTAACTACAATTACAATTTTGGCGCGAAAATCTTACAAAATATCGCTTCAAGTTTAAAACGATTTGGCTGTATATTAACTTTTGCGAGCCAGAAGAACCAATCATCAATGCGGGTCTTCATACAAGAATTAAAACGAGAAAAATCCTCAAGAGATTCCTCACCTCCAGGAAGTGTATAATGCATAACAACCGCTGATAGATTTAAACATCTCATTAACAGCAATGATACCATTATGACAAAAAGGTAAACGTTCTGTGCCAAGTGCCAACACTAAGTAATTATATAAATTGGGACTTACCCAAATTTTCAGCTAACTCCGTCAGCCTTGTTCACGAAATGGACCCGTCTACTCCGGGACTTGACGTCGGAAACACATTATTGCAGAAGAGGGTCATACGTGTCAGATAACCTGTGCCGTCGCCCGTCAGTAGACGGACCCATTCCGTAAACAAAGCTGATGAAGTTAGCTGAAAATTTGGCTGAAATTTAGCTGAAAAGTCCCAATTTACCTACTGATGGCACAGAACGTTTAGCCATGCTGTCATAATGAAGCTTAAGTATACCAACACAGATAGACTTTCATGCTAAGCAATTATACCAGTAATGCTACATGTGGGGTCGTGTGGCGCAACGCAGCGTGCGCGACTCGGAATCAAGAGGTCCCAGGTTCGAGTCCTGACATGCCACCGATCTTGTGCCCTTGGGAAAGGCACTTTACACGACTTTCCCCACTAAAATCAAGACTAAATGAGTATTGTCTGTCCAGTATTCGTTTCTATGTGCGGGACACAACACCAGCAACAGCTGCCTCTGTTCTGCGTGTATTGCACTGTTGCGATTTCAAAAAATTCAATTCAATCCTGACTTGCAAGACGTCTATATCACAATACAGGCGAACCTCCCTAGTGTAAAGTGGTATAGCCCATTACTCCTATGGCCGAGTAAACCATGCGACACAACCGTGTTGTATCAGCTGTTGTCCACCGTGGGAGTAACTTAGACCGTGTTTATGTGAAGTCACCCAAACCGCGATTCGGGTAAATCACATTCCTCACATCTGGTCCACGTGCCATGCATTCCTTTTAAAACGTGCCCGATCACGATTGTCCGAAACTACATTCATTGTTGTTTGATGAAAACACGCTAGGTAGCGTGTCATTATTGTCAGAGGTCAACGACCTGCTTGTTGGTGCCCCCTCCCAGCGTATCTCGGCCGAATGCCGACGTGGTCCCGCCAGAGGCGGTGAAGCTCGCCCTAGAACGGACACATTATTTGATCATTACTACTCTTTCAGATATTTCAGATAAAGGCCCACCGATAAGTAGGGAAGAAATCAAAGGCGCAATAAAGAAGATGAAATTCAGAAAAGCCCCAGGAGCAGATGAAATCACTGCAGAAGTGCTAGCTACGGGGGGTGAAGGTATGATTGACATGCTACATCTGATCTTTACTAAAGTATGGAATGAAGAGATACCACCTAGAGAATGGTAAAAAATGTTGGTTGTCCCCGTTTATAAGAAAGGAAGCAAGTTTGACCCCGGTAATTATCGGGCCATTGCACTACTGTCCATCCCCGGGAAAGTTTTCCTTAGGATCCTACTAGACAGGATGAGGGAAAGAACAGAAGCTCACTTCAAGGAATCCCAGTTCGGCTTTAGAAGCGGGCGGGGTACAGTTGATGCTGTTTTTGTGGTTAGACAAATTTTGGAAAAAGCGAGGGAAAGAAAAGTAAACCTTCATTTCCATTTCATTGACTTCAAAGCTGCCTTTGATACTGTCTGGAGGAAGGCTCTGTGGAAAATGATGAGAGCCATTGGGGTAGAGGGGAAAATTGTAAACATCATAGAAGAAATGTATAAGAACACTCAGTGTGCTGTCATTATCAACAGGCAAATCACCAGTTGGTTCCAGGTGGGAGTGGGAGTCAGGCAGGGTTGCTTATTGTCACCTGTCCTTTTCAACATATTTCTTGAGTTTGTGATGGATGAGCTGAAAAGTCTTGATCCCACTTTTCAGCTACATGACAATCTCTCTACTGAGGAGAGATATGCTGATGACACCACTCTTATAGCAGCTATATTTAGAAAACTTCAAATCTCTACAACAGAACTTGAGTCTGCATGTAAAAAATGGGGGTTAAAGGTCAATGCGGCAAAATGTAAAGTTATCACTAGTGAGGAAACAGATAACATCATGATAGAAGACACAGCAGTTGAGAAGGTCCCTGAATTTGTCTTTCTTGGAAGTGTTGTCCCTGGCACGACTAGCGACATTAAGAGGAGGATAGCGCTTGCTGCCTCTGCATTTGGTAGGCTCAGAAAAACAGTATGGAACCGAAGGGATATTAGCAAAAACCTCAAAGTACGGCTGTTCCAAGCACTTATCCTGCCAATTGCTACATATGCATGTGAAACATGGACCCTGAAAAAATCGGACGAACTTCTACTGC